TTATTTGACATTTAATGATGTACTTTATATTTAATGATACGCTTGACATTTAATGACATGCTTCACATTTATCGATGTACTTGTCACTTATAATGTACTAACTTGTCATTTATTAATGTTTTTGTCATTTATTGATGTGCTTGTCATTTACTGATGAATTTGTCATTTATTGAATTACTTGACATTTAATGATGTACCTGGCATTTATTGATGTACTTGACATTAAGTGTTTTGGTGTTGTTTTTTTTGTCATTTATTTTTTCTTATCATGTATTGAAGTACGGAGAATTGAATCTTCCGCAACAATTGTTTTTATTTGTAAACTATATTTTAATTTCCAAACTGCTTTTCTCTTTTTAATTATCCGAATCATAAACGAATTGCCTTACCTATTTAAGAATGCTCAATGATTAACTTATAAAAATTAAACTTCTCTAGATCAATATTACATTGCAGGAGTTGTTTGTTTGTTGTTTGTTTTTAACTTAGCTCGATTTTCAAATTAAGTCCATTAATTGGGTTTTCCCATTCCTACTAGTAAACTCAATTTATAACGTCAATTAACATTAAAATCTAAGGATTTTTACATATTTTATGCTAGGGCGGGCCAGTGTAAATGTGTTAAAATAGTTCAAAGTATTTTAGAAAAGGCACATTACTTTCATATTAGTTCATAGTATATACTAATTATGTTACATTCGTATTAGTCTGTCATTTCAAATGAACCTTCAAACTATTAGATTCTATGGTAACGTTTACTGATTTATCTTTCGTCATAAAGAAACACTCATAAATAAATATAGATCTTATCTTCTAAACAAATGTATGCCATAATTAGCAAATTAATTTTTGAAACGATAAATGTTAAAAAGCCAGAAAAAATCTATAGATCTTGTATACCAAACAGTATTTGTTATAATATTTTTTATAAAAATCTGGTTAAAATTGAAAAATGTATATTTTAAATAAATACAAACAATTAACTACGGTTTTATTTCATTTTCTTCTAATCAATTTAAATCATTTATAATGATGGTAGCTGACATATTTTTCAGACTAATATAATATACATACAATTTATGTTGTAAATAAGTAGCGGTAGTTTACAAAACTAATTTTTTTTAAAATATTTAAAACAAATTAACTATTTAATAGCAATTAAAAATAAAGCAAACAAGCAAAAAGGTCAAGATACATCTAAGATACATCTAAGATACATCTAAGATACATGTACATTTTCACTCTTTCTTATTAAGTGTAGATTGGTTAATATCTAACTTCAGGCAAAAAACTGTCCATGAGAAACTCCACCGCTGGTGTCACCCATTCAAGATTTTCCCCCCAAAAAATGACCGCTGAAAATTCTTGAAGGAAATTCTCGCTTAAATTTTAAAAAACATTAATCGGATACATTAGGGAAAACTCAATGGTCGGCAAACTCATTGGTCGGAAAACTCATTGGTCGGAAAACTCATTGGTCGGAAAACTCAATTCATTAGTCAAGGAGCTAAAAAACCAGCAGCAGCACAATCAACAAAAATTTGAGAGCCGAATTTTTTTAAAGAACCTATCAAAAAACATGTTTTTCGGAGTCAAAACCGATTGGTGGCCGACTGACCGAGCCGCACTCACGTCGATAAAGAGCCGACCACTGGGATACACGATATGCCATTGCGACACGAAGATGAGATTAGAAAATTTTTTTAAAATTAGTGATAAGCGTTAAGCGTTAAGCCTTGAAAACGAAATCGGGATGACGTCTTTCCTAAAAGTTGCAGTTAAGTAAACACATTTACCCAAACACATTCCCAGCTTCTTGTTTCAGAATAGCCTGTCATAGCCGGATTAACTGCAAGAAAAAGCAAATTTTTGCAGTGCTTCAGAAATATATAAAGGTCTAACAAAAATGACCTTTAACCAACTTAATATTTGTAACAATACTCAAATTAATGACGAAATATTTGCTGAGCTCTTTACAATTTTAAATCGACAGACATCCTACCACTCATCGAATTCTGAAAACTTTAACCACGACTAGTGGCATAGCAAGGATTAGTCTCACACGTCGTGGGCTCATAGCTTTTTCAACCGACCCACGAATAAACTAGTCATTTTACCCAAATATCCCGCCCCTTAAGATATATATAAAAGAAAAAAACAACTGCCCCCACCCCCTTGAGCAGACCACTCTTTCAGGCTACCCTTACCCACGCTAGTGACCATGAACGTCTTCGACATCCCTGAAAGCTTTTTGCGCCCTCATGTGGACACTTCAAGGCAAACATCCAGTCCACTTATTATATAGCATTCATCACAAATGCCTCAACCCATTCCACTTCAAGGCAAACATCCAGTCCACTTATTACATAGCATTCATCCCAAATGCCTCAACCCATTCCACTTCAAGGCAAACATCAAGTCCACTTATTATATAGCATTCATCCCAAATGCCTCAACCCATTCCACTTCAAGGCAAACATCCAGTCCACTTATTACATAGCATTCATCCCAAATGCCTCAACCCATTCCACTTCAAGGCAAACATCCAGTCCACTTATTACATAGCATTCATCCCAAATGCCTCAACCCATTCCACTTCAAGGCAAACATCCAGTCCACTTATTACATAGCATTCATCCCAAATGCCTCAACCCATTCCACTTCAAGGCAAACATCCAGTCCACTTATTACATAGCATTCATCCCAAATGCCTCAACCCATTCCACTTCAAGGCAAACATCCAGTCCACTTATTATATAGCATTCATCCCAAATGCCTCAACCCATTCCACTTCAAGGCAAACATCCAGTCCACTTATTATATAGCATTCATCCCAAATGCCTCAACCCATTCAAGGTTTCCGGAAAAAAAAACGTCCTCATAAATTTCTTGAAGGAAATTCTAGAGTAAATTTTAAAAACATTAATCGGATACACCAGTGGTCGGAAAACTCTAGGACTAGGCGTGTATGTGGGTGGGTGAATGAAAGAAAGTCTGTGGAGAAAACACTTTTAAAAAAAAAAGGTATATTTTGAAAAAAAGGATTTTTGTTTTTTTAATAATCATTTCATTTTATCTTTGTTTTAGTTGTTTTTTTTTAAACAAATATAGTTTCAAGATAGTGAAACGATGGAAATTTTACCCGTTTAAGTTGGTTCAAGTGAAGGCTCCATAACCAATGAAGTCATTACAGATAATCTATATCATGGAGCCAAAAGACACAATTTTGTTGAAACGTGGTATCTCAATGCCGACTTAGCCAACAACAAAAAAATGCATTTAACGATGGGATTGGCAACTTCAGAATTAGTTTTTTTTAAAGGGCAACATTTGACAAGTTCTTTTTTTCAATCGAGTGCTACTAAAGCATCGCCAAAACAAACAAGTTTGTGCTAAACATGGTAATTTTTATGGCGGGAAAATTGTTTCACTGTACGCAAACTTTCAAATTTGTCCGGCTCCCAGGAAAAGATTAACGACAGACGAGGACACAAGTTCCACTGTATTTTAAATAAAATTATTATTTTTTCAAGAACGTTCAGCGTATAAAAATAGAAGGAAAAAAAAGTGTGTCCCTTTCTTGTCCAGTTTGTGCATATTACAATCTATATATACATCGACAGTGTTGTTGTCACACAGAAAACGGAATGGGTTTTTTTAGTCTCTTCTTTTGTGGACAGATGCAAGCAAACTAAAATATCAACAATCAACGGAAGCATGAATCCAAGAAAATCATCCGATGAAAAGCTCATTGTCCTACCGGTAAACAGTTAATATGTTGTTTTGTAGTTGTTTTTTTAAAATTGTTACCTAGGATAAAAACAAACTTTTCCTCACTCGGATGGACTCAACTTTTGTGATTGTCATGACAGCAGCCCCAACCCCACCCCCGACCAACATCCTTGGCCCTCATTACCTCTCTACTCAGATTTTGTTGATGTTTTTAACAAGGACACACGACCATTTGTTTAGCCAGCGTTTGGGTCCCAGTGTAAGACAATTTCGAGAAACCGAAGCATTAAATACGAGTAATAAAAATGATCATAAAATACGTAAGGTACATTCTTCTGCCATTAAACTTCCCTGATACAGTTATGTAGGCATAAATTGATACAGTAGTTCCTACTCTGTGCCAGTCGCTTTGCCATTGAACTGTTCTACATACCACTGAATACCAGGTTATATAAACATCGTAAATCACCCCCCCCCCACTCCCCCCTGTTGTTATCAGGGTACAGTCTGATTTTTACAACACAGTCATAATAATAATATATAGAATGGAGTTGTGGCCTGTGAGACATATAATTGTAAGGGATTCCTCCCACTGGTGGCATCGACCCACAGAGGCGTAGATGGGCGAGGGGGGTGGGGGGACAGATGACCATGGGCGCTAGACTAGCTAGGGGCGCAAATATGTGCTTTGATATTACTTTATTGGATGAAAATAATTGGTTCGAGATTTGAAAAATGAAAGAGAGGCTCTTAAAAATGAATCTTTTTCCCCTGGGGCCAAATACTATAGCTACGCCTATCTGGATCCGTCATGGACGTTGTCACAATGTCTTGTGAATCAAAACAGAGGCGTAGTGTTTCAAAATATCAATAATAGTGACTGATACTTTAATTTTTTTTTTACACACGATCACAATAATAATAGTTAATACTTGAAATACGAGCAAAGACTCATGCCGAACATACTGAATCCGAAAACACTGGGAGTATATCATATGATGGATTTCAATACTATCTCCTCGGTAAACTGCTTTACTTGATAAGTGTTATCCCACTATGACTAAATGTTCTCACATAAATATGGTGAATCAACTGTTACCATTTCTTATTTCCTCCCTGCCTTCCTCTCATTAGCTAGTTTTCTCCAAGTCCCAATACTCTAAACAATACATAAGTAATAATTCCCATATTACTCATCTTCCTTATATCTGTGACAGTCGTTAAATTTAAAGCTCGGCTATGCCACTGCAAACCCCATAGCTTTGTCTCAGTCACCTTGTACTGAAGGTCTTTTGTGCACATGTGTCAGTTTAGTGGAATGTGCTACTTAATTCTACACACACGGATACCTTCACCCGGATAAAAGATGCGTGGATATTTGAGGTCTTATTGATGTAAACATTGTCGGTGGACTTGGAGTTTAGTGGTGAGTCCATTGAATTATTAACATGGAGTTATTCCAACAATACATCAGTAACAATGGCTAGAGGCATGCTTCATTATAATATAAAAATTTCAAAAAATTTGGAAGATTTATGAAATTAATCTTTTGATCACTTACATATTACATCCCCAACTCTTCTTTTTAAATAATTGAGACACGTCGATTCTAAAATTAATGTTTTGAATTTAAAAGACATAAATTAGACAGATTTGTTTCTGGATCCTTTGATCATGTTACTGTTTGAACCGTGATTAGTTTGATTAAACTCATATAATATCAACGAAAGAGTAAAACTGATCAGAAACTATTTCTTCAGATATTCTGTCAACTTACATTATTTACACAAATAAAGATATGCAGTGACAAATATGGTGGTCTTTGAGTAATATGATCACTAGTACCGGTAGGACTACACGGCAAGGTCTTTTCTAGGCATCCCGACTAAGAAGCTAAAGAGCAAGGCCTTTTCTAAGTATCACGACGAATTCAGCCATAAGCCTGACAAAGGGTCTCTGATACTCTGATGCAGAACAAGAAGCCATTCACTTGGATCTGATTCCGTCAAGTGCATCATACAATTAAACCAGGATTTGACGAGGTCGTGTTAAGCCTGATGGTGGGGTGGGAGGAGGGGGCTTTGATACTTGTCCCATCTGTAAACCCAGTGGTGTAGCAAGTGCCGGCCAGGGTGGACCAAGATTTTTTGCCGCTCTGCTTTAACGGGGGAAAAGAATGCGTTTGGGCAAAATGCCGCCCCCTTAACATAAATACAAGATGTACCACCCGGGGTAGATACCCCTCCACTACCTCCTTCCTACGCACCTCAATACACCGACGTGGCCAAGATTACAAGTAACTTGTAGGAGTGTGGCCCTTCAGTGAACAGCCAAACAGAGCGCGGACAGCCGGCCAGATTATAAGCAGACTGTATAAGCGTGTCCATTCGGTGAACAGCCAAACAGAGCGCGGACAGCCGGCCAGATTATAAGCAGACTGTATGAGCGTGGCCCTTCAGTGAACAACGAAAAAGAGCAGGGACAGACAGAGACCGAGTTGGTCCGACGACAAGAGTATGGATAAGGGACAGACAGAGACCGAGTTGGTCCGACGAGTATAGATAAACCTACCACTACTTTAGTACGGGTAGTAAAATATGTTCAGGGGAACATTTCAAGACAAAATGTAAATGGTTTGTGAAGTGGGCTGACAGCACGATTACAAGGGGTGTAACCACATATACAATTATTTTTCTGTCATTATTAATGCTACATCATAAAATGTTAAATTGTTGATAATTCGCAGATTAACTTTTAGAGTTTTATATTACATGGTGAAAGAAATAAGAGCATTCCAATTTTTAATTTTCCTACTGGAGACGTGACTAACAAAAATAAACTCAAATTTTGAATTATTTGTATACTTCCTAAGTGTGTATATGTATAATATCTTTTAAAACTATACACCTCCTCTACACAAATTTTTTTCCCATCATCTCCGTAAATTTACGGATAGTGCCTAAAAATTGAAATAAAATTACTTTCCTTAAATGTCCGTAAGAACTTAAGGTGTCTTTAATAAAAAAAAATTATTTCAAAATTTCAAGCGAAAAAAAAGGTATCTGCGTCCTGTTATATTTACTATCTTCCTTGAAACTTGTGGGGAAAAACCAAGCACTGATAAGAATTCTATTTATGATAAGAATTCTATTTGTGTCAGTACGGGTACATACACAATAAAATAAAGCCATAAACAGGCTCAAACATGAATCATGCAGACATAATCATAAAAAAACATGGAGGTAATACCATTTGATTATTTATTAAAGCTTTTGTAAGTTTTTTTTTTAAAAATTGTGCCTGTATTAAAAAGGCGCTTTTCACCTGAAAAATGCGCAGGTTTCAGAATATTCCTCCATAAATTGTAATTTCTTATTTTGCAACCCTGATCCTCCATCTTACAACTAGTTGTAACGAGTTTTTTTTTTTATACCATACGCATGTATTTATAGATGTTTCTTCTTACTTAGATATATCCCTGCAATTCTAATGAAACTATGTGCATCTATGAGACGTCTCAATGCCAGAACAGAATTTTTCAAATAATTGGGCGGGGGAAAGGGGGTATCTTATGTGCGGCCGGCGTATCGGCCCAGGCCTCAAATTTTTTTCCAGGTAGGCTAAGAATTATTCCTGAGATAAATCGGCTAAGAATTATTCCTGAGATAAATCGTAAATAAGCAAACCTTGACTTACAGCCTTCCAGTCACTATTAATAGATTTTTATTAGCTCAGTTATATTTAATATCGCATTCCACACCTGTATAATTCTAATGATCAAAATATGTGCGAGATCATCGAACAACGGATGTTACAAAAATATTTAATTTTGAAAATAATGGATGAAACCAGGAATATAAGACCGGCGGGGAAAACTTTGTCGAACCGGGACGATCCAAAACAAACTGGGACAAACGGGATCAAACCGGGAAGTATGGTAAGCCTATTACCCGGTACTGTGTTGAATCCACACACTTGCATATTGCAGAGGAATAAAAAAAAACACTTGTTCAGCCGATGATGACAGCTGACATGCTCAACGAGCTATTTTCTACATTGTCTTATTCTTACAATATCCATCAGTGAGGTGACTGCATAATTTAACGAAAATAATGAGTTTCTTGCATAGGTAAAACTTTTTTTTTTATATTTAGTAATGACAAAATAATGTTATACCGTTTATACTTAAAGCTAAGCAGTCAGTCGCCTTTTTCAAATTTCTGAGCTTCAAAAGAACGTTCTAACCTTGGCTTCTAAATAAGATCTAATCATTTCAATGTCAGTCTCAACATATATTTCGCTTCGGTAGAAATATTTTTTTAACAAGCCAGACCATGCCAGATTTCCGTCTGTTAACCCGTAGAAGCACAGTGTTTATATTGCTGATCGATTTCGAAAATCAAGCAGCAAATTAGTTTTGCCGAGAAATAAACTTTTTTTTTTCCCACCCACATGTGTGTTTGTTTGTTTGTTTGACCAGCACAGAGTCCATGCACAATCATTCCTACCCAAGTGTCCGTATGTTCGCCAAACACTGAGTCCATTCACAATCATTCCTACCCAAGTGTCCGTATGTTCGCCAAACACTGAGTCCATGCACAATCATTCCTACCCAAGTGTCCGTATGTTCGCCAAACACTGAGTCCATGCACAATCATTCCTACCCAAGTGTCCGTATGTTCGCCAAACACTGAGTCCATGCACAATCATTCCTACTCAAGTGTTCGTATGTTCGCCAAACACTGAGTCCATGCACAATCATTCCTACTCAAGTGTCCGTATGTTCGCCAAACACTGAGTCCATGCACAATCATTCCTACCCAAGTGTCCGTATGTTCGCCAAACACTGAGTCCATGCACAATCATTCCTACCCAAGTGTCCGTATGTTCGCCAAACAAGTGTCCGTATGTTCGCCAAACACTGAGTCCATGCACAATCATTCCTACCCAAGTGTCCGTATGTTCGCCAAACACTGAGTCCATGCACAATCATTCCTACCCAAGTGTCCGTATGTTCGCCAAACACTGAGTCCATGCACAATCATTCCTACTCAAGTGTTCGTATGTTCGCCAAACACTGAGTCCATGCACAATCATTCCTACTCAAGTGTCCGTATGTTCGCCAAACACTGAGTCCATGCACAATCATTCCTACCCAAGTGTCCGTATGTTCGCCAAACACTGAGTCCATGCACAATCATTCCTACTCAAGTGTTCGTATGTTCGCCAAACACTGAGTCCATGCACAATCATTCCTACTCAAGTGTCCGTATGTTCGCCAAACACTGAGTCCATGCACAATCATTCCTACCCAAGTGTCCGTATGTTCGCCAAACACTGAGTCCATCCATCAAACGAAAAAAAACTTTACTCAACCTTTTATAACCGACTCTTTTTTTAGGAGAGAAAAAAAAACAAATTTAAAAACAACCCGTTTGAATAATCCAGCAACCCTTGAAACTAAAGTTGTTCGTGTCAATCTTGTGTATGCACTTTTTATACGTTTATTTCATATGAATATTTTAAAGACCCATCCGCTTTGATACCGCTGATTTATTTCACCAACTAATTCACAGACACACAAAAAAGAAAAGAACATATTACTCACCAAACGCTCTTATGACATTATTTTTTCTTTAATAATCTCATTTAGCACAAGAGTGGACACAAGTATTTCAGTAAATCATAAGCGTCACGTTTCCTTAATCTTTCCCTGGAAAAGTTGGGAAAAAAATGAAACTTGTGTGCCGATTTTCAGCTCGATAGGTTGTCGGGAAGTGGGTCAATTAGCCATCCGGGGATTTTTTTTAACACCTAACCAGAAACACAAGAACAAAACTGTATTTAATATAAAGGATTTATTAAATTTAAATATTCCAAATATCATTACCTTAACTTAGAACACATTTTCTTTTTTTTTTAAATAGATAAATGAACACACTGTTAAAAAATCTCATTTCGAAAATACTTCCGTTCAAAAATATTTACCTTCGAACAAATTTCCTTTCGAACATATTTCTAACGAGTTAAATCGTAAAAATTTACGCATGTGGACAAAATGACTATGGAACGATATCCCGATTCTGAATCATTTGACAGCTGACTGGTGCCGTCACATAACTCCACTATTTTGATTTTTTTTTTGTTATGAAATATGAAAATGAATGTTTTCGACACGTGCCTGGCAAATATTTTATAAGGTGCTGTAACGTCAAGTAAGAATAATAATAATAATAATAAAGTTCATTTCAAAAACACGCTTCATCCCCAAAGGCTACAAAGTCAAAAAAAACAACAAATCTATAGTTTACCACATTTAAAACAAACGCAACACGACAAAAACTAAGTACAAGCCTACAATGGCAAAGTCTTTCTAGCCATTTCAACCATAAGCAACACAGCCATTATGCATTAACTGGAAAATAATGTTGACAATCATCCCAGAAGGTGTTTGCGAAATAGATGTGTCTTTAAATCTGTGCTGGTCAAACAAACAAACAAAGAATATCTGATAAAGTCTCTTTGAAAATTTTTAGGAGACAGGCAGCTGGAAGTACGTTAAGATCAGTCAATACGGATTTTTTCAAATGATTGTTTAACACGGTTTGAAAATTAGCTTCTGTTGTTTATTTGCAGTAAATACAATTGATGGTCACCTGGAATCAATAGACACGTACAAGTCCTTGAGAGCAGTTCTGAAATATAGAAAGAGAAACCCATGCCGACACTACAGATTTACGATGACCTGCCTATGTCTACAATTATTCTGTGTCTTCGCATTCACACTAAATTTGTGTACAGCGTTCCTAACAGTAAACAAAAGTAAGTATTCGAATTAGGCAACAATTCAAGGGCATTTATTTATGAAACAACATATAGTTTCATAAGTGTCTTGTCAAATTAGCCACAAACATGTCTGGTCCATACGGCTACATACATGTCTGGTCAATACAGTTATATACATGTCTGATCCGTGAAGGAATCCAGCAGTGACAGATTAAGGCGTACGATATTAAAATATAACCAGTCAAATGGCGACCTATGAGACCAAAATTTAGCCAATCAAATAACAATTTATGATACCCAAATGTATCCAATCCAGCAGCGACTTATGAGACCAATATGTAACCAATCAAGGGCAACTTATTAGACCAAAATGTATCCACACAATGAGTGACATATGAGAATATCCTTACATCAAATAAGCATAAAAATAGACAGTATTAACAACTAGCTTTCACTTATCTTAACAGGCTGTACTGTTGTCGGCGATGGTAATGGAGCATCTGAAACGGGTACATGTTTCCATGTCAGCAATGAGACCTTGACCTGGCAAGACGCTCACAGGTTCTGTCATTTAAACCAAGGATACCTTATGAACTCTGTGCACGAATTGAGTTCCTATTTTGACCCAAGTGTTCTGAAATTAGACGGTGAGTACTACATGTTCGCATTATTGTTTTCCTATCTTTTAGATTTATTTATTGTACCCTTTTAATGTGAAAACAAGAAAAATTAGATTAGGGCAGTTTAAGCCCCATGACCGAACAATTATTTTCTTTGCTATATTAAAAATCATCCATCCGAATTGTCACATCTTAGGTGTCAATATTTTTATTGAAATAGTTGAAAGGTAATGAAAGCGAGACAAGCAACATCCATCCATCCCTCGACAAACGGTTGAAAAGCTGAGACCAGACCATAGAATTAAATAGAGTTCAATACAAGATGTGGCCTCTGACATTTAGGATAAACGCCAATTACCAGACACAAAGACCACTTGCAAACTAGTTCATAAGTCACGTTATATCATAATCTTAGACGAACAGAACAATGTATCAAAGCTTTTTTTTTTACAACCCTTAACATTTTTCCTTTTTAAACAATTTAGATAAAAACAAATTACATTACTAAACATTCACTCTCATCCCTCGAAACTCACACAAAATCGTTAAATTGAATTTTTAAAAACAATGTTTAACACTTTTTCAAATAGTGTTCTTTTCTTTTCTTTCTTTTAAATTTCTTTTTGTTTCAAATTACACAAGATCTGACAGGGTCGCCCAACCATAAAGGGGGAACAATCTCTTACACAAACACGAATGGCCTTGACCAGCCACAACACCGTGAAACTAGTGTCTCCTGCTGATGGGGGAGATAACGGTCAGATCAAACATGGTGTATCGCTTCCAGGGGTGTTACGTTATCAATCCTATTATAATCGAATCCGCCCATCACCTACCGGTAAAAAGTATGTGCGTGTATAGGGGGGGGGGGAGTGGTGTGACATTGTTAGGCTTAAAAGAGAAAGCAAGAACGTAATCAACATTATGTATTTTTGTCTTTTTCATTAGTAATATTTCCATAAGCATTCTCTTAAAATAACATAATATGTTTCCTTTCCCTTGCTGGTAAGAAGTGGTTAGGGATTCAATTCTGGCCAATTTGAAATGGACTCCTCGGATTAGAGGATTAGAACTACCCACTCTTTGTCACCACTTTTCCTTTGCACGTTGTTTAAAGCAGCGTTTCCCAAACTCTTAAGTCTGAGGTACAGGTGTTCACGTTTTGAAATGACACCGGCAACAAGGACCGGTGTCTGATTTTTAAATTGTATCCACTTTTTTTTATCTCACCGTAATTTATCATGTGCGGTGGACCGGCAACTTAAGGCTCGCGTGTCCTTCCTATCAGATGACAGTGGAATCACTCCAACGAACAGGGGACAAACAGATGTGGTTTACATAACTTATAGGATCCTATTTTTAAAGGAAGAAGAATATGGAGCCTTAATTTATTCTTGTAAAACCCAATCTCCTAGACCAGCTATCAGGACACACAAATTTTGTGTTTACATACATTTATATTAATTATTTTTATCACTGTAGGCTCTATTGACTCTAAATATTACTTCATGTAATTCTTGCAATAATTGTGTGTTATTTCAATTAAAAATTCGTTCAAAGCACACATTTAAAAATACCAAGTACTAGCGGCTATCAATCATCGTGTGTGCTATAAAAATTGATTTTGTTGTTGTTGTTGTCTTTAAAGAAAAAGGAATAACGTCCCTTTGGTCTGGACAACATGTCAAAAATCAACGTCTGCTGGCTGACAACTTCCCAACTGTACAACGGTGAGTAAACTTTGTGAAATATCGAGTGATATTTATGTCACTTTCTAAAATTATTAATAGATTTCTTGAACTTGTATTTCTAGTGCAGCATATTTCATAAGTTTTTTTATTGGCACTGGATGATTCCACTGTAGAAATTTTCGCACTGTTTCAGTATCGGAACCTTCACCAATTTTACACTGAACACCATCCCAGGCAGTTCTCTCTGTGTGCTGCAAGTCTATAACGGAGCAAGCAAAGTAAGGTGAGTCTAATTAGTATACACGGTAACGGATTCTGGCTGTTAGAGAGTGTGGACGATGTTCGTGGTCGTGTGATGATGTCAGTGGTTCTACCTTCATCAACATCATCAGTGGCGCTACAGCCCATGTAGGGACCTGGCCTGCTCCACAACATCCTTCCGATTGGATCGATCCAGGCTCTAACCCCTAGTTGGTGTAAATCCTTCACTACATTCTTCGATCCATCTAAGCCTTTGGTGACTGGTGAGTCATCTGCCCCTAGGCTTCTGCGTGTATATCGCTTTAGCTGCTGTACAAACTGGCAACCTTTTACTATGACCTGCTCAGCGCAGTCTGTCTTTTTATTGTGAGCGGTTCTGGGAAGTTTTTAACGGTCCTGGGACGTTGTTAGTGATCCCATTGACCTCAGTGGCTTCTTAGAGTCTCAGAGGTTGACAAAACTTAAAAGCATCGAAATCCTTCATTGGCCAACTGTAACTTAAGGGGGCTATATATACAATAATTATAGGTATGGAGAAGTGTCCGGTTAGAAACATTACATATAAGTCTCTTAATTACAACTACCATCTAATTGTGCGTTTAAATTCTTTATTGAGTATTTATACATACATTGGTTATTAATAAACATTTGTGTTTTTCCGACACCAGGCTAACTAAGAGACAAGCACAGATCGTGATCAACGGAACACAGTGGGAAGCCTCTTACACCAAGATGCTCGCCCCGTGTGACGAGAAACACTTCTTTGTGTGTATGTTCCAAGTCAAGTTCGACTTCACTAAGGGTTACATCCTAAGTATGTCATGCAGTTGTAGAAATTCTGTGTTGTTTTTTAAACTAAAAACCATTCACATAAATAAGAATGAGCTACGCTGACCGTAACGCCAAAGAACCGAAAAGATTTAAATACGTTCGGATTCGTACAAACTGTAAGAGTTATTGTCAAATATTTTACAGAAATCGAATACATTTAAATGCGCAAAAATATTGATATCCGCTTTTCTTTTAGGGAAAAATTTTAAGTATTATTTTTATAAATTATAAATACATTTAAAGTAACGACTAAGGAACAATTTTAGCATTTTATGTGTGTTTGAAAGTTATGAAAAATAATTAAATGAAAAAAGTATAATCAAAGAATCACACCGTAATCCCATTTCATGGGAAATCCAAACGTCAGTTGTTGTTTTTTTTTTTTTTTGTGTGCGTTTTTAAGTGCATTTTAAATATTATGAAATACAATTGAAATTAATTTGTGCTAAATAATCACGCAAATGACGTCATAGCGCCAATCACTTATTTTAGCACAAATTTTAGGTTTCTTTGATTTAATTTAACAACACGTTACAAAACTGATAATGCATTTTCCCCATTTAATTTCATAAATATAATTGAAGGCTTTTTTTAATTGTTAATAAAACTCACACAAATGTAAGCTTTGTATTTTTAACATGAAATAAGTTTTTTTTTTACATTTTTAATTCCAAAAATATACCTTTAATAATTTTATAACGCAACAAAAACTTAACCTTTCAATATACATCTAATAAGAAACTGCCGTTTAAGTAAATCAGTGCAGCGAAACTCCATAGCCAAATAGCATTCACTAATCAGCTTGTAACTAATCCAAATAAGAACAAACCATATGAAGGGCAAAATATGTTAATTTAGATATGGAAGGGACTACAATCCGGTGGAAGATTTTGTTAATTGTATTTATATCTAGGGAGGGGGGATTGTTCATTTTGCCCCAGGCAGTACAAGATACTTCTCAAAATCAAGGAATGAATTTGATAAATAATTTACCTGCTTGGGTACTCAAATATCGGGGTTAGAAAATAGTATGTCTTCATTTCTTCATTTTTACGTGGATGACACATATTTAAATGCTATGATATTACATTTGTGAAAAAAAAATGGATAAGTCCATTTTGCCCAAGGCAGCACAAGATAATCTCAAATTAAAGAAATGAATTTGAAAAAAAAATATCTTCTGGGGTACATATATATCGGAGGTAGGAAATAGGATGTGTACAATTTTACATGGATGACAATATATTTGGATTCTATGGATTTCAGTTGTGAAAAAAGATATGTTACATTCTCTCTTTACAAATAAACATATGTTTACCAAATAAGAAAATTAATGGCGTTTTTTTTTTTAAATGATTGTAGATTTATATAAGTAAACCCATGAATATCGAAACCCAATCATTTTACACACTTGAAAAATTAATTTTGAAAAATGTTGCTGGGGTTCTATGTTCTTTCAAAAATAATGAAAATTAATTTTTGTTTTTACTTTGGGAAAGTAAAGTGGGTGTGCATTTTTATGAGATTTACATTTTTTTTAAAGCCTTCAGGTCTGTTGTAGACGTGAAAAACAATTGCGTTATTCTTCTTTTGGATAAAAGAATTGTTTATTTTATGATTTTCTGATAAGTTATAATTATAAAAACAAGTCTAATTGTTGTTTTTTTGGAGAAGAAGATATCAATATATAAAATTCCTTTTATATAATATATATTTATATGATGTATAGAAATTTTGTTGTAAATTTAAGATTATATTTTCACAATTTTTAGTTTAAAAAAAGTTGTAATTCAAGGGCAGGAAAAAGGGTAAATCTGAAGTAGTTCTCAAGCGCAGAAATCATTTCTAAATTAATTTCTTTAGTGACAAAAGTGATATAATTAGTGATAATTTAAATTGGGTAATTTAAGATCATGTTAAAAGGGTTGAGGGGGGGGGGTTGTTTAGGGGCGTGAACGGGAGTAGGGTAGGCGTATAATATATAGCAGATAATCACTTCTCAAACCTTAATGAAGTTAGAAACGTAAATATCATTACATAGATACTTTTTTTCAAGTTAGGAATTTTGATGAGCTTTTGCAATAGCAGGTGGAAATTATCGCAAAAGGAATTACCATCATTATCCCAATAACATCGAGACGTATATTCCAGTGTTAAATAGTTTTGGACCTAAAATTAATATTTATTGTGGGTACATGGAGAAAGCGTCTTTTTTTTTGGGGGGGGGGGGAGGCGGGCATTCTTTCCAAAACATATTGTGATGCTTATTGGGGTAAATTAATTGTGGGTACATGGAGAAAGCGTCTTTTTTTTTGGGGGGGGGGGAGGCGGGCATTCTTTCCAAAACATATTGTGATGCTTATTGGGGTAAATTACATATAATTTTTATTTGTTTTTATTTAAAAACTTTGTTGCTATAATGAGGCGTTCAATTTTTTTATCATTACTCGAAAACGCGTGTATTTTGCGTGTTTTTTTTTCTACCTTTTATCAAAAGAGATGGCGGTGGTAAGCGAGAAGGTGATACGTTGTGGGTTAGAAATTACATGGAAAAAATATGCGGAAAGTTGCTTTTGGTGCAGGGCAATGGGAGGTTTGAAGAATGTAAATTAAAGTACGAGAAGGGTAAGAGAATTGGAGAAGCAAAGGGTCAAAGTGTAGGCTGGCAATTGTGGTCGAAGAGAAAGTTGGGAAGTTAATTACAGATAAATTTGACCCCAAAACAAAAAGGTATATGATAAGAATGAAAAGGGGATATGTTAGGGTGAAAAAGGAGATGAATCGTTTGATTAGGAGTGCAAGAAAAAAAAGATGTTTTAGGTAAAGGGTAGTTTTTAGGAACGTGTGGAGTTTGGGTTCCGATTGAATGGATTAATGTTAATAAGTGATGGCATCGCAGGGAATAAAGGTAGGGCAAGGATGAAATAGTTATGTAAGTTTAATAATGACAAGGGAGGAAAAAAGAAGAAGCTGGTGTACTTTTACTCAGTCTATTCGAAGAGTTGTTGATTGGAATACGACCTTTCATCTCAGTTTCTCGATGGTAAGTTGTGACGAACATAACAAAAACCCGTACCCGAGATTCCCCCACATTAGCTCTAGTCCCAAAGACACCGAGTACCTGTTTACATCGCCCTCCAGCTTGAAGTATTACGGCCCTGCGTTACAGAGGTGTGTGGCTAGAGCTTGTTGCCACAGTGCGGGCCGGGACAATTAAATGAATGAAATCGTGAAACGAGGTATGTGGAAGCTTGAAATAAGGTAACAGGACAAAAAACAAGGACGTTTCGGCATAAAGCCTTCCTCAGCCAACAATAGAAATGAAAATATAACAAAGAAAAGAACACAGTAGACAACTCAATTAGGAGCGATGAAATTCGGCCCTTTCAAAAATATTATATAATCTTAGTACAACAAATAATGAGGGATTTTGTGTTTTATTCGCAGATCAAGGCAGTACTGCTACGATTCGAATCTACAATTTACCAGTAGATTTTTACACCAGTGTTGAAAACGTTACATTTAATGAAATAGATGCAAGCTGCAAAAGGACACTTGAAGGTGGAACACCTTTCAGGTAAAGAGAGTGGAGTAGGATACTTAACGTCTTCTAGAGAGCAGTAACTAAGTTTTATTCTAGGGCGTGGTCGTCCAGTAACTCAGGTCCCTTCTGCCAAATTTCCATACATGAGCATCTTTGAGATACGGCCTTCTTCCATTCTTCTTAAACGGCCTAACTAGCGAAGGCGCCGTTTGCTAAGTGCGTAGAATATGTTTAAATATTTCTGTTCGTTTGAGGACCTATGTGTCAAGCCTATTGTCCTGCCATTGGATGCGTAGAATGCTACGCAGAAATCTTTGATGGAAGGAAGCTGTTGAATTTCCGCTCATGACTGGTATATGTGGTCTACATTTCACTGCCCTTTGGAGAGTACTAATCATAAAAGCCTGGTGGACACTTAGATTTGTTTTATTAGTTAGATTGGGATTTATTCCCCACACACTCATTCAATTTAGCCATAGTTGCTGCTGCTTTTGTGATCATGATTTTTATATCTTCATCAACGGAGAGAGAACTAGAAATATGGGATCCAAGGTATGTAAAACGTTCAAAAACCGACAGAGTGTGGCCCTTAAAAGATATGATTGTAGGGGAAGGTGCTTCTTGCATCCTGTCATGTGTTTTCTATAGACTTATTGACAGTCATAACTCTTTACAAGCATGTGATTGACGATTAACTAGCCACTAAGACCTTTTTCTTTGTGAGATGTTAAGGCGACATCGTCAGTGGGCAGCAGTTCACGAATTTGTACCATTTTTCCCTTGGTCTTTGCACGAAGGAGGGAGATATTGAACAGCCTATCATCAGATCTGGTATGGACGTACAATCCATCTTCACAGGCCCTGAACGCAAATTGAATGAGAATTGAGAAGGAAATGCGGAAGAGCGTTGTTGCCAGCGTGCAGCCTTGTTTTACTCAGTTGCTGACTGGGAATGCCTCAGAGACGGCGCCATTGAAGGTTACTTTGGTGTGCACGTTTTTGTGAATAGACCATATGATTTTGACCAGTCGTGAAGGACAACCTATTCTTTGCAAGATACTCGACAGGCCTATCCGATTTACCAAGTGGAAAGCACCTTTTCATATCCATGAAAGCAATATAAAGAGGCGTATGCTGTTCACCACACTTCTCCTGCATTTGGCGTAAGGACAATAACATGTATTTAGTTAAACACCCACTCCGGAAGCCACACTTGGGGTAGATGCTGTTAACCCGACTCTGCATTCGTTTAACGTCAACACGAGCAAACGTCTTTCAACTACGTCAAGAAAAGAAATTTTAGGTAGCCTAGCAATCATTTCGGTCCCCTTTATTTTTGTAAAATGTTACGAATGTGACCTGTTTCCAACACAGACAGAGGAGCTCATGTAAGGGCTGAAGTAGCATAGTTTTTCCATTTTTGAGGACTTCCGGTGGAATGCCATCAATCCCTGGTACTTCCCATCAGCAAAGTAATCAATTACTTTCTCGAGCTCCTGCAAAGTTGGCTCTTCATCTAGATCTTCCATTATTGAAAACACGGGAATATTATTCAGATTAGTCTAAAAATGACTAAATTTATTGAGTATCGTTCAGACAATTTTTTTTTGCAGTTCGGAGAGCCTATAGTGTACGAGCACATGATGCATCCCTAGAGGCAAGCAGGGCTCTTCTCTTCCTTTCGGTTACGGTTTCCATCACATTCAAATAGGCCTCGTACCATTCATTATTTTTAATGCTCCATTTTACCGTAGGCGGACATGGCTGAATAGTGCACATCATCTCGTAAACAAGTCCACTTAGAGTCAATAGTGCCATCGGGTGACCCTTTAGCAAGAGTATTGTGCAATACTTTTGGGAATTTCTGCTTTTTTCTGGGTTTGTTGAGCAGTACGTGTTAATTCGTGGACGTCACTTATTGTTTGCATTATGCAATTTGTTTGGGCATTAGCCGTATCTTGCTTGCTGCGAGAGAATGGTCCATGCCACAGTCGGCACTATGGTACCTGCGGGTAAAAAGTTCACTGGCTAGCTCCACGCACCTAGTTATGATAGGGTCTAGCTGGTTCCAGTGGCGGGAACGTGAGTGTCGCTACGACACGTTCTGGATTTTTTGTGCACTTGAAGAAGGTGTTGGAAACACAGAGACCATGGGAGCAGCACAACTCCAGCAGACGTTGTCCGTAATCATTGTCCTACCTAATCAGTGATAACCAAGACATGAATTCCAGACTTCCTACTCAGCTCTAACCCTATCATGTAAGTCTCCCAGAATGTATAATGCATCGGTATAGGGAAAACATGATAACTATTTGTCCAGGGCCTCATAGAACAGATATTTCTCTCCTGGAGTCGAATGAAGAGTGAGAGCATACACATTGAATACGTTGGTCTTGCCTGCAGATCATGACATCCGCAGAATCCTCTACGATCCCAAGGCTGGAGGTTCAATACCAAAAATGCGGTTTTTTTACGGCAAATCCAACGCCACGTCGGCTAGCTTCATCTGCGGGTTCCATCTGCAAGTAAAACGTGTAGCTTGCTTCTTTTACTGTACCAGTGTCTGGTAGTCGGGTCTCTTGAAGGCAGGCAATGTCAATGTTTAGTCTGGCGAGTTCCTTGTCAATTGCGGCAGTCTTCCTTGCATTGCTAATCTGTTGAAGGTCAAATCCAGGACGCAGGGTTCTTACATTCCATGTTGCGAAGCGAAGTGGTCAAGTTTTCCTTCTGTATACTTTCTTTTCCTCACAGAAAAACTCTGACCCCCATCCCCCCGTGAAGTGACGTCACCAGTGCAGCTATTTAGCCTGTGTAGTGTTTTATGGAGACCAGCTGTTGCCCAATGCAGCAGATCCCCACGCTCCACGCAGCCAGTGGATCCAAGCGAATGACAATTTGTCAATACAACTTGACACTAACTGCGTCGCAGGAGTGTCCGAAATGACATTGGTATTGGCGTCAGATCGAATTCGGTACACCATCTCCGGATTTTACAGTTTGGGTTTACTCCCTTATTCTTACCTTAGCTTCCCGCAGTGAATTTGTGTATTTAACACATTATGTATTCATCACTTTCCCGTTTGTGAAAAATGTCCGTATTCATAAAATTGCGTGTCATCCATCTTGTTGTGAACCTGAAGCATATATCCTTTATTAAAGAGTTGTTTCATGGCAGCCGTTTTGCCCTCAATCTCAAGCAGGGACTAACATCATTTCCCCTTCGATGGTAACAATCAGTCCTTAAAGTGATGAATGGTGTGAAAGATGTTTGTAAATAAATGCACCCCAAACTTCAACACCTTCAATCTTCCTAGAAAAAGAAATATCAACAGTTGGACGAAAATGATGTCACTGAAATTTAAAGGAAATATTAGCGGCCACCTCCGAAGACCCCTTCCTACATCCTTCTATAAAAAGCCAAGTCATACCTCGGAAATATGACCAGGGATTCTATGAAAAAATATACAGGAACTCATCCTCTTAAACAAGCGAATGAAACACATTCTCTGGATGCGTTTCATAGGAGCTTAACTCACTTGACGGCACAAAAGGGTGAGAAATAGCAATATCGCTATTGCGATTAAGAGACGGACGGATGACTCTTCTAACCGTTGTCCTAATATGGAGAGATCTGAGAGTTGTTGCATGGAATAAGGATGTCAGAATCGAAAAAAACTCGGCTGCTCAAACAACTATTTATTTTGACGTATAATTTATCGATAATTCGTAAAGATAGGCAATTTTCCGAAAAAATGTCCCTTATTCTTATAAGTTTTTAGTTATCGGCGTAAATATTCAGTTGTATAAACATTCGACTGAGTGACACATATAGATTTTTCAATCAAACATATCAACATTTAGCATTCTAAAGGTGTCTTCTATTAAATGAGATGATCACGTGATCAAATCAAAACCCCAACACTGCCAATAAGCTTATAATTCATGTATTTTCAATTAAAAGGGTGATCTCTGACATTGAAAGAAAAATGCTCATATCATATTGGAACGCGTCCCTCTATCTTGGCTACATCAACGACACAACAGAACTCTTTTGGCTCGACGCTGGAGAGTACCACGGCTGTAGCGCTGTGGCCGTTGCCTCTTTTAATTTCGTAAGACATTATTCTAAACATTTTAAGATCTGTCTCATTTTCAAATGACTTAATATTACGTAATGTTCTTAGACCTAATTATCTATCGTAAATATGCGCAAATCAGGGCACCTTTATTTTACGGAGACTCATTGATTTTGTTTTCATCAAATTACAAAACTAGACATCATATTTACAATCAAATCTTTCTTGCACTCTTGATATTCAGTTATCTAGGTCTCATAATCAATTTTGAACGGATCCATAGCAAAATGGGATAGAATACATTTTGAAAACTTATCTTAAACTAAGTGTGATAAAATACACTTTGATAACTTATCTTAAACTAAGTGTGATAAAATACACTTTGATAACTTATCTTAAACTAAGTGTGATAAAATACACTTTGATAACTTATCTTAAACTAAGTGTGATAAAATACACTTTGATAACTTATCTTAAACTAAGTGTGATAAAATACACTTTGATAACTTATCTTAAACTAAGTGTGATAAAATACACTTTGATAACTTATCTTAAACTAAGTGTGATAAAATACACTTTGATAACTTATCTTAAACTAAGTGTGATAAAATACACTTTGATAACTTATCTTAAACTAAGTGTGATAAAATACACTTTGATAACTTATCTTAAACTAAGTGTGATAAAATACACTTTGATAACTTATCTTAAACTAAGTGTGATAAAATACACTTTGATAACTTATCTTAAACTAAGTGTGATAAAATACACTTTGATAACTTATCTTAAACTAAGTGTGATAAAATACACTTTGATAACTTATCTTAAACTAAGTGTGATAAAATACACTTTGATAACTTATCTTAAACTAAGTGTGATAAAATACACTTTGATAACTTATCTTAAACTAAGTGTGATAAAATACACTTTGATAACTTATCTTAAACTAAGTGTGATAAAATACACTTTGATAACTTATCTTAAACTAAGTGTGATAAAATACACTTTGATAACTTATCTTAAACTAAGTGTGATAAAATACACTTTGATAACTTATCTTAAACTAAGTGTGATAAAATACACTTTGATAACTTATCTTAAACTAAGTGTGATAAAATACACTTTGATAACTTATCTTAAACTAAGTGTGATAAAATACACTTTGATAACTTATCTTAAACTAAGTGTGATAAAATACACTTTGATAACTTATCTTAAACTAAGTGTGATAAAATACACTTTGATAACTTATCTTAAACTAAGTGTGATAAAATACACTTTGATAACTTATCTTAAACTAAGTGTGATAAAATACACTTTGATAACTTATCTTAAACTAAGTGTGATAAAATACACTTTGATAACTTATCTTAAACTAAGTGTGATAAAATACACTTTGATAACTTATCTTAAACAAAGTGTGATAAAATACACTTTGATAACTTATCTTAAACTAAGTGTGATAAAATACACTTTGATAACTTATCTTAAACTAAGTGTGATAAAATACACTTTGATAACTTATCTGAAACAAAATAGGATACAGTAAACCATTACACGTCACGGGAGAAGAAAAGTTTGTCTTTCTAACAATTATACATCTTGATGCTAAACAATATCTGATAGATTTATTTGTAGTGCGCCAATCTATGCCTTCCCACAGGTACATCAAGTGTACACACCTTTGCCATGCGGCACGCGCCTGAGAGCCTTATGTCAACTGAACAAGTTATATAACGGTGAGTGACGCCATGTTGGAACGTAGCAGAAATTTACTTCAACAAATTACGTCTTCTCCCTTTCGACGAATTTTTTTTTTTTCCATGTTGTCTTTTCATGAGCATTTACCACTTCGATCTGTATGCTACAGTGTCAGAGACGCCGCCTCCTGAATGGAAGATCACAGCGAATCGGTCAGGTGTCGTGGTGATCGACAATGAGATCCAAGCCCCTTCAAGACTAGTACGTCAGTTTGGCAGCGTGACAAACAATGTCTCCGTTGAGTGCGTGACTACCATAGGACCAGTAAGCTCGTTTGGGTGTATTTATTATTTTCACTTTTTAAAAAAAGAATGTAACTTTAGGAGTGTTTATTGATGATAAAATACGTTATTATGGCCGGTGATTATAACCAGCGAGTGTGACCTCCTTTATACCTATTGTTCTAGAAAATATAATGTATATAAATTGAAGGAAAATGAATATTTCTATAATAATAATAATAATGCTTGCAGTGAAACTGATCAACACCATTAAAACACATTGTGCTTAGCTTGTCACCAAGAATATTAAAGTTCTTTTGGAAGCATCTTTAAAAACAAAATCTGAATAGCACATTTTATAGTTTGGCTTTGTTTTTAATTCATTTTCTTTTTTTAAAATTATTGATACATTAATTAAATTTCTACGAGAAAGAGAAAAAAATGAAGTCTTCTAATGATAAAATACAAATTCTGCAAAAATTTACTGACGGGTGGTACCTACAAACTTAACATCTAGCTACATTCAGTCGTCATATGTCGTCCAGTTCTAATGAAACATTCAGCAAATGTCTGTGCTATCGCTTTGGCATAGTACATAGGCGCTGTCTGTAGTTTCCTGTTACTAATCGGCATATATTTATATTCTTTCGTAGTGATTCGGTACGGGATTAACTCGCTTTCCTGGGGCTGACGGTCCTATGCATGAAATAGATTCGCTTCCCCCAGGGGCTGATTGTTCTATACCGGACATAGATTCCTTTTCCCGGGACTGGTCATCTTATTCCTGACTTAGATTCGTTTTCCGCGGACCTGGCCCGAGAAGAGAGATTTATCACCGTCTCAATTCTTCGATGGAGATAAGATTTAGGCAAGAAAGCTAGATGAATCACCCACTATTGGGTTTGTCCTGGATAAAAAGTGTCTCCTTGTTGACTGATAGGCCAGTTGTCTTTAGGCAACCTGTTTCATAAAAGAGCCTCGTTTTGCTATTTCATAAAGGAGAATACAGACATTATTCTTGCATTGGCGTGGATGTTCTGGATGGATGATCTTCTGTGGGATGCCAACATTGCCAACACTTGATTTGCCTTGACATCCTTAATATCCTGTTCACATTCATCATCTGATCACTTGGTACTTAAAATATATCACATTTTCCAGTAGGATGTTGTTCATATTGACTGTGTCCTACACTATGTTTACATCTTACAGTAGGATGTTGTTCACACTGTGTCCTCCACTATAGCATATTTAACTGTTCTGCATTTAATATGTTTTTCATTTAAATTCAAAATTTCAGTAAATCTTCTCTGTAAAACTCGCCATTTCAAAATGCAACCTTCTTTGGGTATTCCCTATTACGTCAAAATATGTTGGATTAATTTTAAGTCATTACCTCTTGGAACCACTCTGGTATAAACAGATATTTAATTGTACACCCAGTAATCATCTATTATAAAAAAGACATATTTTTTGGTACAGCCGATCAACATCTGGTATGACAAGTCATTTCTTAGTACAGCGAGTCATCTTCTGACATAGAAAGTCATTTCTTAATAGTACAGCATGTCATTATCTTTCAAAACAAGTCATTTTATTTTCACAGCTAGTCCTCGTATGTTTCAACAAGTCAATTATTTATACTCCAACAATCATCTCTGGTATAATAAGGTATATAATGGTACGGCCAGTATGTCATCTGATACAAGTCATTTCTGGGTAGACAGTCAGTCTTTTATGACGTTTTAAAACACCCATATCTAATACATTTTATGAAAACGTTGTGAAAAGTAATTTAGTTTAAACATTTACCTAAACATTTCTGTTGTTATCAATTTCTTGAAAACACTCTGGTCACTAAGAATGCATAGTTTCAGTTTGCATTCAAGGGAAAATCGAGTTATTATTGCCTTGATAAAAACTCAGTTTTCCCTCCCCCCCCCCTTTTTCTCCCTTTGACCAGCTTCAGGCAGTGACGCTCTACAGGAATGGGATTCCATTTATGTCTCAGGACGGTATGCCTCACACGGTGGGCCACTATTTAAATTTGACAGTACAAGGAGTAGGTACCAACTTGTATCCTAATCAAATTTTTCGCAATGAAGAGGGTACTTTGATAAATGAAGCGGGCAATATTATTTTATTTTCAAAAGGTCTATTTTCATAAACAAATGTAAATGATTTATAAAACTATATATATATATATATTACTATATATTATATATATATATATGTATATTGAGAATTTAAAAAAAAATATTATGCTTTGCTGTATTAAATAATATTAAGACTTTTCAAGAATGAATACACACTGGCTTTTCTGTTTCAAAGGTTTCTGACATCGATCTCAACCAATACTTTCACTGTGAGGTCAATAATCTAAAAAACGCCTCCACACTACAATCAGACTTTGTCTTTCTACGCCTTACAGGTTAGTCTGCTATGAATTTAGGCGTTTAAACATTTATTGATGGCATTTTAAAAAAAAATCTGATACATTGCATTGCTGGCAAAATGTTGAAACGGGGCTGCTGAAAATGACCATGACACTAATTTGTTGCAAATAGTAGAACAAGGAAGGAATGTCCAGGCTGGAATCGACAGACCTGATAATAAAAGAAGAAAAATTTCATCTAAGAGCGTTCCTCAGCAGACAAGACAAATAAAAAAAATAAGACAACAAATAGAAACGCGTTAACAAACTTAAGTGTTCGCCATTTTATTTACGGATGTTGGATTTTCCTAAACGAAGATTAGAGGACGTAAAAGAATTTATTACTAGGGAAAATACAATCACAACGGGGAAAAATAACTATTTTGGAGATATGTAAAATATATTTAAGAATAAAAGAAATTCAGATAAGTTCAGGAAATCTAGTTGGAAAGTATTTAATTAATTCCAGATGGTGATATTGTGCCGAAAAGATGAATAAGTTGTTTTCCTATCTAACTCTCGCTGGTCTGTAGCTACAGGAAATCAGTGCTGTGTTGCATACAAAAGTCACTTTTAAGTTTATCTCCATTGAAATTTGGGTGTCATAGCCTAAATTTAGTAGTTGATAACAGTGCAAGGAGTTGCCTGGAATCCATTTCCTTTCTTTTTTTTTCTTTTGTGGTACTTTTCAGCTCATATATGTTTTCTTTTCTGCCTTTCCATTACGTCGGCATGTTTTGAAAAAAAAAAAAAAAAAAATTTTTTTTTTTTGAAGTCTTTACGCCAGAATAGATGGGAGTGTAGAATAAAACGTATTTAGAGCCATTAAAAAAAAATTACGGAAATTCGGCAAGCTCTTAATGAACCTGAAGTATATACTTGTGACTGATCGTGTAGTGTTACATGAAGCAGAAACACTTGTATCACAAATAAAAGATTATGATTTTTTTTTTTAGTGATGATAAATGGCTGGTAAGATATCTTAGGCATGGTAACTGTTGTCAGCAAAACTATGCAGGAATACCTCTGTGGAACTATCTGCTGCTGTTTCACTAATGGTTAGTGTCACTGATTATTTAATGGATCATCGAGGAAATGGTTTTGGAAATGCACCAGAGACAGCAAAATAAGCTACAGAATTAGATGTAATTTTTTTTAAATAAAAGAATAAGGAGAAGAGAAAGGGGTTATTAGAATATGATTAGTCTGACGAGGTTCCAAATGCAGATGGCATAGAAAAAAATCACTGGACCTTTTCTTATCAGAGTAATTTGAACAGGTGCAAAGTTTCTATTATCCATGAGAATTTTTCAATGATCTAAACAATCTGCCAGACAAAGATAAGCTCAAAGTAACATGCCAAGTTTTGGAGAATAAGTTAAGGTATCATAAAAATAGCGATATAAATTCTAAAACACTTAAAAGTTATTGGATTTCATGCCTAACATATGTGTAACATTAAGAATAAGGAATACGATACCTATTACTGTAGCAATTGAAGAAAGAACATATAAACGATAATTCATGTCTCAAACCAGAACGAATTCTTTGGCGATTTTGTCTCTAGAAAAAAGATATTGCTAAGAATCTAAATATAGGCAGTGCTATTAAACGATTTGCTGATCTAAAGGGTAGAAAATCGTGAAGTGTATAATAATTGATCATAGTGTCCACATACAAGTTAAGAAAAACTTTATTATTCCTCATAATTTGCTTTTTAAAAAAAAGCCTACATAATAATCTCCTTAGCTAACCCTTAATTTTTTTTCTTGCACAGTTGTGTTTGATTATACTTTTAAGGGACGCTTAAGTTAAGCTTTTCTGGGGCCCCAGCTACCCCGGGCTGGCCCTACTTATAGCTCCTCCAAAGACGAGCAAGCCACATGAAGCTGCAATTTGAAAAACTTTGATATCAATATCTCAAACCCAATTACTTTACAGATTTGAACTTTGGTATAGATTTTAATGTGAAAATTAGTAACCATAATCTGTCAATATTCGACATTATTTGAAGAACTGTGTTGAAGTCAATCCAAAACCGTGCGTGTCAAACGGGTACGGGGGCTTTAGTTTAGGGGCGTACACCAAATGTGTGATCGAATACGTCAGAGGCAATCCTTCCGTGGATGATTTTATGAATGTATATTAAAAACTATTGGGGGAGGGGGATTAGATAGTTTCATTTTGCCCCAGGCAGCACAAGATACACCTGAGAATGAAGTAGTCATTTTGATGAACAATTATTGTCTTTAAAGAGAAGTAAATCTTTCTCTAAATATGTTTTCATTGTAGTTTGTATGCGTGAAAAATAGCTCGGTTGGCCTATATTATATACAAGAAAGAAATAACGAAAACCCAATAATGTGAGAAGCGTATATATATGTATATATTTATATATAGATATATAGATATATATGTTATATATATATATCTATATATCTCTCTCTCTCTCTATATATATATATATTTATTTATTTATTTAGGCATTTTTTTATATAGCACTTACCTTAAAGCTCTAAGCGCTTTACAATTATTAAAAATATATATATAATGTAAATTGTCAGAATTTTTTTTAAATTCTTCTTTTTAAGGATACAATACATCAAGATTCGAATCAATTACATTCATTGAAATTGGATTATAAATGTTAAGACTTTGCAAAGAACAGGTGGAAAGTAACCCATTATGCCTTACACTATTATTTCCGTTAACACGCGGTCGTATATTCTTTTTAATAATATTCCGTTCATAATTAATTTCTTTTCATGTATTTGCGGCTATTAATTTAAAATGTAAGTTCGCAGCTGAGTTGGAGACAAAGAGTTACATCTCCGATGTGCTAAGTAGAGGCTGGGGAAGTGGGGGGAGGGGGGCAGTGGTGAGTGATGGAGACATGTTGATTTTGACAACAATCTTCTTTTGCGGAAAAAGAACTTTCATACTGTAAAGCGGAATTTTGAAGGAAAAAAAACATAATAAGTTTTAACACACTAAAAAGAAAAAAAAAATTCTTAAATTTTCCTATAAGTTTTTACGCAAAGAAAGTCTGTGAAGAAAATGATTTAAAAAATTTGTAAAAAAAAACAACACAAAATTCAGTTTTTCCTAGATTTAAGTGGAATTCTTTGGGAACATAGAGTGCCTTACTACACGTCTTTATTTTTTTTATTTAAATATATAATATTATGTGCTTTTAAACTATTTTTTAAAAAAACAACTAAATAACGTTTCTACCTTGATTCCATTGGCCATACGAACAGTTAAACATAGATTCGATAGCGATTTTTATTATAATGATAAAAAATTATTAGTACACAAACATATTTATGAAATTTAGGAATACACTGTATCCTGTATGTATTACAAGTTAACTCTTTTCTTGTAGCCACTTTGTTAATGTTGTATGCGTTACCTTAGCGACAATTTACTGCACCAGATATTTCTTATAAGATGGGTTAGTTTATCACCAATTTACTGGACCAAATAATTGATAAAGGATAGGTTACCTCATTAACAATTTACAGCACCAGATATTTCTTATAAGATGGGTTAGTTTATCACCAATTTACTGGACCAAATAATTGATAAAGGATAGGTTACCTCATTAACAATTTACAGCACCGGATATTTGGTATATCTTGGGTTTTCTTATCACCAATTGTCTTCACACGATATTTCTTATAAGGTGGGTCATCTTATCATCAATTCGCTGATCCAGATGTTTGTCTTTTCTTCCCAGATTACGAGATCTATTCCCTGCACATTGACCTGGCGCCCAATGAAAAGGCGGAAAGACTTGCCTTACTCATGCTCGAGGCTTCATTACTAAATAAATGGGCTCCTCAAACCTTTGATGCCAGTGGCAGAAATCTTTCACTTAATTCAACTATAGCCCCACCTGCTATACGCTCTTTATCGAATGGGTCATCACTGGTTGACCTTCAGATCAGCCTGGACAGTGTTGTAAGGTCCTTGCAGGACTGGCGGATAAAACCCATGCTCTTTACGTACGTCCTTTTGTACAAGTGTAGTCTTAGCTTTATTCGTTAGATTTATTTAACATTGCTCGTTATTTTCACCAAACATCGTTTGTTAGCTTCCCTAAACATTGTTTGTTAGCTTCCCTTAACATTGTTTGTTAGCTTCCCTTAAAATTGTTTGTTTGTATTATAGTATAACTTATATATTTAAATATTATTTTCATTTTATGTTGGAGCTATTTTTAGCCACCACCATCTTTCTCCCCTTGTATGGCCTTGACATTAACGTTGCCGATTCATTTTGCTGTGACACTCCTTTACCCACCCCTCCCAGGATTAGAAAAAAGCTTGTTTAAATTCGATTGCGCTCCATTTGTTCTTAAGAATGCCATCAGATGAGGCAATTTCTAGAATTCTTTACTAGGACTTTCTGATTGCATCCCAAAGATATAGGCCTCAGATCTCTTCACAGAAACAAAGTGAGAGAGCGCGAAAGACAAATGGTTGCCATATTTCCTAATGTACGCACGACGTCATATAATGGAGTGTGTAAATTAATTTTTCTATTTTGGAGCAGTACCATTTAGCCGTGTTCAAAGAACATAGCAGAATATTTATAAGCATTGATATGAAATAAGGGCTTTTCATTATTTCGTTTGAACAACTAACATAACATATTTGAATTTAAAGGAACATATATTATTTGACATCAACTTATATAATCACATAACGTGCATATCAATTTTTAAAAATTGGGTCATTATCAACTTTTTTGGATCAATTAAAAATGGCAAATCTTGATCCTAAATTTGTTTAAAAAAAGTTATTCACTCAAGATTTCTGTGTTGTATTTTTATTTACACATTCGCAATAGGATATCCCCAAATGATGACAGAAAGAGTCTTGTGGCGTATTTTTACCAGAGCGTTTCTGAAACACACACCATAGATGATATGAACCAGACAGTGTTTGAACTCGCATCTGAAAACATAACGGAACTTTTCCTAAAGGTATTACTGGAACAATCGCATCAGTGAAACAACTCTCTGATGTCGATATTTTAGCAAGTGCACGTGAATCCTAAGGTGTAGCTCTTTCGAATCCCTGCTTCTTTGCCAAACTGTTATCTCTACATCTTCTGTGTGATGGTTATATAATCCGCTTCTTGATTTTTAGTACACTCCTCTTTGGTGTGATGTCAATACCATCCGCTTCTGTGTGATGTCAATACCATCCGCTACTGTGTGATGTCAATACCATCCGCTACTGTGTGATGTCAATACCATCCGCTTCTGTGTGATATTAATATCATCCGCTTCTTTGTGATGTCAATACCATCCGCTTCTGTGTGATGTCAATACCATCCGCTTCTGTGTGATGTTAATACCATCCGCTTCTGTGTGATGTTAATGCCATGCTTTGTTGGGGAACGTTGGTACCATCCTCTTCTGTGGGATTTTCGCACAATTCTCATCTGGTCGATGTCAGCACCATCCTCTAATGGGTGATGTTATTACATCTTCATCTGTGGGATGTTAGTAAATCCCCTTCTGAGGGATATTAGTACCATCTTCTTCTGGTGGATGTTCGAACCCTAATATTCTGTGGGATGTTAGTACCATACCCTTCTTTCAGTAGAAGACCCTGCATTTGCCCATTGTGTCATTTCATCTATAATGTAACCTGATACTGCTGTCGTCTCCTGAATCCTGATATATCGGTCGTCTCCTGTAGCCTGATACAGCTGTCGACTCATGTAGCCTGATACAGCTGGTGTCTCCGTAGTCTGATATAGCTGTCGTCTCCTGCAGCCTAATACAGATGGCCCTTGTCCCGTTGTTAATACCCTGTCGGTCTTCCTCTGCTCAATTACTTACATCACGTCTAATGTCTCTCTGTGATGAAGCCTAGATTTTGTATTTTCCGTATTTCTGTTGCCGATCTTTACAATAACTATTTCCTATTTGCATCAATGATTATGTACTAGCTCTTTTAAAACTTACGAATAACTCCAGAGCCCCGATGAACTACCTCAATTCAATGTGACGTCTGTTCAAGTGCGTAGCATTGACTGGTGCTGGGCTGTAACGATGTCAGACAATATTACCAGCGACCAATACGACCTCCCCAAGTCTACCATGGGGACAAACTGGAGGAGTCAAAATTTATGTGCTCGGGGTAATGTTAACAAAAGGTTACCTCTACAATTCTATCGCATTCACAATACTTCCTTTTAAAACTATAAAAGAAAACGTCTTTTAAATAAAAATAAAAGATAAAAAAATATGGTATATCTCTTACAATAATAAAATCATTTTACACGATGTCATGTTCATACCATATCCATACAGACAGTCAGCCACTGGTGACCGTTAAATGTGAGGGAGATAAGATCATTGGACTATACTGGAGCCAATTACACGTGAACGCGCTCTGTGACTACTCAGCTAATAAATCTGGGAGAACTAACGCCACACAAGATTTACAGGCCCTAGCACAGGTTGGATTCCTTTTTTTTTTTTTGCAATAACATTTTACCAAAAGATCTTACGTGAATTGGTGATATGTTGCTGTAAGAAATACGGCAACAACATCGATTAATTTTAACGGTCAGGAGAGTTTTTTTTTATTTATTCATAAAACATTCTTTTAGGGCTAGTTTCTTTTTTTGTCTTTTAATTCTTAACAGGGAAGCATCAACTCGTCAAACAGTGAGGCCATTGTGAACGACACAATGCAAACCCTCCAGGGGATGAACCTCAGCAGGGTTATACCCGAAGATGTCCGATACCTCGCAGACATTTTCCAGAAGCTCAGCAACATCAGCGTTAAGACCCGGGCCACCGTCCAGGGGATGCTGGACGTTGCTGCTTTCATGAGGAACTTCCCGGGTCCCGTCTTAAGAGACGCCCAGAGTTTAGGGAATGCGACCAACAGGTTCGTCCTCAGATGGTAACACGTGTGTGTGTCTGTGTGTCCCCTTGGACTAACGGTTTTAACTCCATTGATTTGTTAAATTTTCTGTTTGCTGTCGGGTTTCCTAACCTTTTTGGTGGCGCCGCTCCCACTTTTGATTTCAAATTATTTACGAAAAACTCGGACGATTTAAGGAATAATTTGTGAATGCAAATGAAACACAAAAATATTTTTGAGTGTTTCCTGCCATCCCTGACAACTCCTACCACACCCCCAGGGGATGCGGGCACCAACACATCCATTAAACGATCTGCATGGGAGTGCGCACAAGTCTTGTAATGCCATCGCACACAAAAATAAGGTGCGCACACAATATTGTGTTATGAAAATAATTAGATTTTACTTTATATTTTTTGTGCATTTTTATATAGAATAGATATGGAAAGAGCATATATATATATATATATATGTATAGATATGTATAGATATATTATTAATTATCAATTTAAAATAAAATTACTACTGCAATGTGTACGAAAAATGTTAACTCGTGATACCCATGGAAAGCCATTTACACTCAATACTGTTTACTAGGCAATATAATCTTTAGAACTTGCATGATCACAGTACGCACAAAAATGTGGACCATCTCTAAAATGTTTCACCACCTAATTTTATGCACATATAAAGTCTAATATATTGGCGTCAACCTTGGGGGGCACCTCTTGTTATAAGCCCCTGATGTATGTAAATAACCAGTTATAAATACGGAACCTTTGACTTCTCCACAGAAAGAGGCACGATTTAAAAATTGTGCCTGTATATCGTCAGGGTTAATAATTATTGATTGTAAATTCTGAAATTCCACTTAGGTTGTCACCCCTTATTTTGTTTGCAGTCACATTTACGAAGATAACGTTAAATGGTTTGAAATATCCTCACATCTGTACGATTTATTATGTTGTCATAAATAATAGACTTAAATATCCTCACATCTGTACGATTGATTATGTTGTCATAAATACTAGACTTAAATATCCTCACATCTGTACGATTGATTATGTTGTCATAAAGAATAGACTTAAATATCCTCACATCTGTACGATTGATTATGTTGTCATAAATAATAGACTTAAATATCCTCACATCTGTACGATTGATTATGTTGTCATAAAGAATAGACTTAAATCAACTAAATTAAAATTATGTTTAATTGGTCTTTCTTTTTTCTTTTTTTTTCTTTTTTCATGTTTAGAATTTTAAAGAGTCTGGATCTATCAGGAGGTCAGGTTGAAATTGGGCCTGACGAAAAGTTCCGGCGAATAATTTCCGGTGGTCTCGGCCTGGAAGTCTGGAACCTTAGCCGTATCAATGACGATACATTAGTTGTGGGAATTAAGGTATGTGTTTTGTTGAGACATAAACTACAATCAGCGTGATGTTACATTCTCTTGTTTGTAAAAAAAATGAAATGTTTCGTCTATGCGGGTCAATCAGTTGTTACGAGCTTTATTTTTTTTGTGTCTCCTCCAGTTGCTGTCTGAGAATCTCACTTCAGAAAATCTTCTCACACTTAACAAAACCAACCAGGTTGACTACGGGCAAACTGAAGTAGCCATCCTGTTACAGACAGACTTAATCAAGGTTAGTGAATCATATTATTATTAAGTGTTCGGTTGATTCTTCATTTTTTAAAAAAAAAATTGTAGTTTTTTTAAATTATGATTTGCATTCCATTGACACACCATCAGTTTTATGGACATTGACATTTCAATTCCTTGCACAGTAGGCGCTCCGCTCTAAAGCAGATATCGTTATAAGGTAATGCACAGTCGCGTGCTGGGAGGGGGTCAGTTTAGTAGCTCGAGTTAATCCCAGGGTTGACAGGAACACCCTCAATTAAATTTAACGGAGAGCAAAGCTGTGTGCTGGGACTGAGCCTCAGGTCTTTTTCGTTCGTGCATCATGAGTGACCAGCACGCGATTCGCCCCTCTTCCTTTTCTTGGCTGTCTAATCCCTTATATATAAATTACGCTTCTGGTAGACTGCTTCCATTTCTAGGTAGTTCCTGGCAAGCTGGTTGCTTCCTATTTAGCGTATTTGGTATTGAGATTATATTACATATAACATATATAAGAATGAGCTAGGCTGACCATAAAATCAAAGAAACGAAGCAATTTGAAAACGTTTGGATTCTTAAAAATAATGATAGTTATTCTCTTTATATTTTACGAAAATCTAAAAATTTAAATGCACAAAAAAATGCAATATATTCGCTTTTATTTTAGTAAATGTTTAGGTATTATTATTATACATTAAAAATACGTTTAAATACCAACAAACTGAACTATTTTATCCGAGTTTGAAATTTATGAAAAGAAATTAAATTAAGAATTATAATGTAAGATTTACTTAGTAATCACATTAATTGAGAAAACCCAAACATCTGTTGTTTTTAGTTCGTTGTTAGTGCGTTTTTGAAATTGCGAAATAAGATAAAAATTTCTTTGATCTAAGTCAACAAGCAAATGATGTCATAGCGTGAATTGCCTATCTTAGCCAAAGCTTTAAGTTTCTTTGATTTAATAACCACGGGTAAAAAAAAAACTGATAATTTATTTTCCCTTTTTTCAAAAGTAAAATTAATAAATAAATTTGATCGCTTTTTAAATTGTTTATAAGACGCACACAAATTTAACTTTGAATTGTTCACGTTAAATAAGTTTTTACTTTTTATTCATTCCAAAATTATACTTTTCTTAAATTTATAAAGTAATAAAAACTTAACCTTTAAATACCCTTTTAATAAGAAAATATGCTTCAAGTCAATTAGTGCAGCAAAATTCCATATCCAAATAACATTCACTAATGCACTTGTCACTCATCCAAATAAGAACAAACCACGAGAGGTTCAAAAACTGTTGTGCCTGAGTACGTAGGGGGCTACAAACCTGTGGATGATTTTATACAGTTTGATGAAACTACTGGTGGGGTGGGGTGAGGGGGTCAATAATTTCTTTAGGCAGCACTAGATGTGCCTCAGAATATTAGAATGGATTGATAAATAATTAACTTTCTTAGGTACATATATATCGGGGGTAGGAAATTGGTTTTGTACCTTTTTACATGGATGACAACATCTTTAAATACAATGATATTACAGTTGTGAAAAGGAGATGTTACATTATCTTTTTACATATAAACATATGTTTATCAATTCAGAAAATAAATGGCGTTAACAAAACGTAAGTAGATTTACATAAGTTACCCATGAAAATCAAAGCCCAATAATTTTACACAAGTGAAATGTTAATTTTGAAAAATAGAGATAGTTCAAATAACAAAGCGAGCAATTGTACCAGAAAGTAGTTCATGTCACAACCGATCTTTAACATTCGTCAGCTGATATCATGGGCGCCCGCAGGTAGAGGCAATGTGGGGCACTTGCCTCCCCCTGGATAGATTCGATAAGAAAATTTTAGACAAAAATAGACACAAAATTTATTAAAGTAAAGAGAAAATAAAGAGAAAGTAACTAAGCTGATGTCCTGTCCGTTCGTCCACCATACAAATACACTACAGTAAATTAAAAGTATATTAAAACATTACTAAAAAATTTTTGCCCCCCCCCCCTGGAAAGTTAATCGATTTTTTTTGCCCCCCCCCTAGAAAGTTTTCTGCGGGCGCCAATGGCTGATATCGATACAGAGTGTGGTGTGATCAGATAGGCATTAGCAAGTAGTCTACCAATTTTGTGCATTATTAAATATCTTTATTTCTTTTTTCTAAACTCTAATAATAAAATATGCAATTACATTTGGTTAATTATTGTATTAATCTTTAAAAGATTTGGATTTTTTTTCTATTTTTTAATCACGATAAAAATATTTCAGTAACCGGTTTGATCAAATCAAGCAAATCTCATTCTTTCAACACCTTAAGTTTCAGGGCTAATTAATGATGTCCTTAGCATAAAGCATTTAGTGATGGAATGGTTCGCCCCGACCAGAGCTTTTTTCTCGGTGCGGCCTTGCTTGACCGTCAAAAGTGAAACATGTTTTTTTTTTCTTTTTGTGTATGTTTCTTTTAAAATTTGCTTTTTTTGTTTTTGTTTTTTTGTTTTGATGTGTGTGTGTGTGTGTTTCTTTCTTGTTTTCTTTTTTTTTTTAAATTTCTTATTTCACTGTTATCATAGCATGACTCGTTGAACAATGTTTTAGGACACTGTGCGCAACTACACTGGCTCAAACATCAGACTGGCCATGAATATCTAATGTTTTTTTTTTCTTTTTGTGTATGTTTCTTTTAAAATTTGCTTTTTTTGTTTTTGTTTTTTTGTTTTGATGTGTGTGTGTGTGTGTTTCTTTCTTGTTTTCTTTTTTTTTTTAAATTTCTTATTGCACTGTTATCATAGCATGACTCGTTGAACAATGTTTCAGGACACTGTGCGCAACTACACTGGCTCAAACATCAGACTGGCCATGAATATCTACTCTGACACAACACTCTTCAACACTAGTGTACTAGAGACCAGCATCAGCAAGCCATCTCTCAATAGCAGAATCATAGCCGCACAAGTAAGTGTGGAGTCCTTAGTGGACAGTGGCTGGCGTTACTGGTCCAACATTATAAACATTTCCAGAAATTTTTTTCTTAAATAACCAACTTATTGTTTACAAATATTTGGAGCAAGGTGTGTTTGAAGCTATTCGATTTATCAAAACTAAGTATATGTTAAATAAATCATTCGTTTTCATACATTTTTTGTTGTTGTTTTACATAATATTTGGTTTGGTCAGTCAGCGACCGTCGCGCCGCGCATGCGTAATACGGTAACCGCAATTTTGGTGTACTAGGCCCTCTTTTGGACTAAAAAATAATCAAGTTAAACATCTCAAACCTTTGATATACATTTTGAATCAATGTTACGATGGATAAGCTCCTAAAAGGAATTATATATGAACTCATAAAGGTAAAGGGAACCTAATTTTAGTCTCTTGTTCTCTTGGTTAAGTGTAGAATGATACAAAGCTACATTCCGGTATGTGCTAAAACGCATTCATGCATTTATAAATGAGGGTCCCACCCTCTTAACTGTCCCATTTTCAAATTCGCTAATCAAAATTTTTTTTGGAGTTCAAGATTTCCACTCCCCCACTCAGTTTCAAGCGTTCAAGTGACAGTTTCGGGCACCTTGTTATCGACATCATGCTACATGCACTGTATACAATGTGTTAACGAGACATATTTTGAATTAAATTTATACAATTTACATCTGTGATTCGCGTCACGGGTAGATTGTATTATCAAATGCTGCGATGACAAGAATTTAAAAAAATTGTGTCCGTCATTTAATGAAACACATTATCTTTATTAGGTGTAATGGCATGCGCCTCACGAGGAGTTAACTCACGATCAAAGTTAACTCACGATCAAAGTTAACTCACAATGAAAATTGACTCATGATCAAAGTTAACTCACGATCAAAGCTAACTCACGATCAAAGTGTCACATGATGTCAATTCCTTTTGCCCCTCCTGGCTTAAGCAAATATAACTAGCGTTAATTTAAGGTATAGGCCTGTACACTTGTCAAATTTCTTATTGGAAAAGTTAATTAAAGCTTCATACTTATAATAATAATAATTTAAATGTCCAAGTCATTCTCTTCTACAGCTGTTGGTCGATGATCAACCGATCACCAACCTGAGCTCCAGCGCTGTCCAGATTGTGTTTCTGCCAATCAAGAAGGCGCCCATACATCTGAGACCTAATCTGACGACTTGCGCCTTCTGGGACTTTGAGGCCGAGTCAGGCGCCGGTGGCTGGTCAAGCCAGGGGTGTGTGTACAACCAAACCATTGACGGCACGGACGTTTGTGTTTGTGATCACCTCACAAACTTTGCCGTCCTTATGGTAGGCATCTGTTTATTTTAACCGTAACTAACCTATGGTGTGGCCTTTTTTACATCAACGGTATCTCACCTGTTGGTGTGCCCTGTTTTATATCAACAATATACCACTTTTTGGTATATCACTTTTCTTATTATCCACCTGTTGGTGTGTCCACAGTTTGTCTCATCCATAAGTCACCTGTTGATGTGTCCCCATGTTTGCATTATCCATTTGTATCTGATTGTTGATCAGGTACAGCATTAATTCTTTACAAATACAGGAAATAAGGTCATGAGACAGAGTGGTTTTAATTTCAAAATAGAAAAATTAAAAATTAAAAGGACAATTTCTGAGGAGATCCATAATAAAGTACAGGCTAGAATGTTATTACATAAATAACAACAAACCTATAACTATCAATAACAGATCTTTTAAATGTATAGTATTACTTAAATATTCATAGTATTACTTGCATTTTATAACAAAAATAGCACTAATAGATTTGAATGATAAAAGTGAATTGCATAGATGATTTTAAGTCAAATAATAAACCCGACATGGTTACAAAATGAGTAAACGAATAGCCTTTAACGATGTTTGATTACTAAAGACATTATGATGCGGGTTAACTGCAACGATGTAAAGTATAGACCTTAGTTGTACTCTGTCGCACACGCAGGGGCTATCTGGGACAGAGGCCAATGGCATTATGCTTAACTATGAGATTTCATTTTTTATAGGTCATATTTACCGGTGATTTCAAATTTAAATAATTTGCTTTGATGTTGAGAATGTAAAAAGAAAAAATCGTATTTTAAATCTCTCCCAGAGTTTCTATGAACAAGAGAGTCTGAACAACGAGCACGCGTTGGCAATGACCATCATCTCGATTGTGGGACTAAGCCTTTCTATTGTAGGACTTTCAGCAACCATTCTTTCATTCCTGCTCATCACGTAAGTCCTCTAATTTCAAGACATAGAAAATGCCTAAAGGAAATATAATATTAAATTCGTTCACTCTATTTAAATTACTTCAAAAAATTATTAACGCAAGAGTTGCAGTAATAGTATTTAGATCACCGTTATAATGAAGTTTTTTAAATTCAAAAATAAAATATTTATTGATGTGTTCATTTATCGACTTTTAAAAATATTAGAACATATATTTTTGCATATCTTTGCAGACGTTTGCGGCGAGGTCAACATCAGCAGACACTGTTCCAGCTGTGCCTGGCACTCCTCATGTCCTGGATCGTGTTCCTGTCCGGAGTGACCCAGACATCATCCCACGCTGGATGTATTGTTGTGGCAGTTCTGCTCCACTACCTGATCCTGTCATCCTTCATGTGGATGTTGATGGAGGCACTCTTGCAGTATCTGCTCTTTGTCAAGGTCATGAACACATACGTCACCCACTACATGTTGAAGACATCCATACCAGCATGGGGTACGTTAGAACTCAAAACCAACATGGCTTAGACATTCGTCCCATCATAGGCTAGCAAAACATACCAGCATGGGGCACGTTTGAAATCCATACAAGAATGTAGGATGATAGACATCTAATCCAGCATGTGTTAGACATTATACAGTATGTTTTACATTAGACATTTATGATAGAATGGGTTGCCATCAAGAAAAAGGATGTTTTGCATATCCATAGCAACAAGGGTTAAACATCCATGCCACCATGGGATACGAAAGACATCCACGCCAGTATGACGTAGACATCAACACCAGAATTGTTTAGACATCAATACCAACATGGATTAGACATGAATGCCCTTAAGGGGTACGATGGACATCCATATCTGCAGGATTTTTAAATCAAGACCAGCATGTATTGCGTTAGACATGCATACCATAATGGGATAAGTCTGGTATTTTTAACGGTTACAGGAAATTTGATCGAAAGAAATTTCGTCGACGGTAAAGTGATCGACAGTAATTTGATCGAACGGAAGTTTGGTCGAATCTTTTTTTTCAGTTCACATGTTAACATTTTGCTTCAAACTTCTTTGTTAGCACACTATACTATATTGTAAAACAAAATAATGCGTTTAAAAAGAAATTTGAAGCAACATTTTAACGTAAACACAGAAGATTTTCAACCAACTTCCAAATGTCCAGAGAGGAAAAGTCGTATCTTTACTTTACACGTAGTCATTATGAGACTACCATGTTATGTAAATCAAGGGTTTCTATCATAATAAAGTTTGTTTATCTGGATATTTAAAATGAACTTAAAAATTGAAGATTCGAAGCTGCCTTAGCCAATCCATTTGTCTTAAAACAAAAATGTTTTCTGCCGGTTTTCCCGGAAACAGAATGAAGCCTGGCACTGCCGTTTTATTATTTTTTTAATTTTTTTTTTTTTTTAATTCTTTGTTTTAAAGTTAAATGTTGAGTGTCACATCCACAATAAATCAAGTAAGTTTTAAAAAGCTTATATTAACTTCACTTTTGTTTTTTGGGGTGCCTGGGTGGCGAAATCGCTGCCTGGTAAAAAATTCTCAGACTACTCATTGACAAACGTCCCGTCAAGCTACAGAGCTTAAACGTGGCACACAGATTTGTTGCCATTGAGAACTCATTCTGAAAAATTTTACAGCCCCAGCACCAACCTCAAACCAACAAAAATATTTTTTTCAGGTTTTATTTCTCTCATATTTTTCAAGGGAACATGAAGTGAAATTTTCAATAATTGCTCTAAGTTAAATTGTTTTTTAGAGAAATATCGCAAAGAGCTTAGTACGAAACTTTTTTTTTTTTTTAATTTGATGAAATAAATTTTGCGGTGTAAATGCAGGTGGGTCATAAGCAGGGCCGGCTGGCCCTAACAATTGCGTGGCCCTATGTGAAACGGATAGCGTGGGGCCCAATCTGGGCAGGGTTAAGGATAATAAGTGAAAAATTAAGATTTGGTTGTAGAAAATAAAGTGCGGGGCCCACTGCGGCCGCATAGGTTGCAGTTCCCTAAGGCCGGCCCTGGTCATAAGAATATTACTATAGTTAGGGGGCGTAACAAATGTGCGGTGTAAGTGCAGGTGGGTCATAAGAATATTAGTTAGGGGGCGTAACAAATGTGCGGTGTAAGTGCAGGTGGGTCATAAGAATATTACTATAGTTAGGGGGCGTAACAAATGTGCGGTTGCAAGCCTTGAGTAGGAGGCGGGAACTAATTTGGATTCTTATAAAGTGCGTTACTTTTTAACATGTTTTTTTTTCTCCACGTATTTCAGGCTCACCCCATTGCCCTGTATTACATTTTTATAAAGGATCCATACGACCCCAAACTTTTTTTTTAGGGTTTGTTTAATTAATCGTACTTTTAAGAATTCTTACATGACGGACACATGTGATTTCACTTTTGACTATAATCCTATTAAAATGTAACGAATGTCTCGATCTCACCCGCAGGTCTACCGGTCATCCCAGTTGTAATTGTCTTGAGTATCGATCCTGATCTTTATGATGGTGGAGAGCTATAGTAAGTTCAACATTATCTTACCATTAAGGGTGTACAACGTTTTCTATGGTTTGTGTTTGTCTCTTAAAACATGGAAATATTTATATTAGGTAATTATTGTTCTTTGCTTTTTGCGACAAGGAGCATTTTGGTAAATGTTTTTTTTTTAAATTCCTTTATTAATCAAATTATTAATATTTAGAATATAGTTAGTTATTTTACATCAAATATGGAATATCATGGGAAATTTTACCATTAAAAAAAATATAATATATATAATGCTCTGCATGAACAGAATTAAATGCATAGTGCCTTACTAAAAAATAGTCAAATCTATAAACAGTAGATGTATAGAACATTAAAATGTATGAAACAGTAAAATCTATTTAAAAGGTCTAAATTGAAGATACTCGTTGTATCTCCTTTGATGGCTAGGACAGTTTTAATAATCATCGCTACACATTGTTGTCTCACATACTATGCTCAAAGAACTTAAAACTATTCATTTTCATTTATATGTGTCTGTTTATCGCGTCCCAAATAGTCACTTTCTCACATTCTAATTTGAAAATTTGTGTTTATTGCGTCCCAATGTGTCACCTTCTCTCATTCTAATTTGTTTGTGTCTGTTTATCTCCTCCCAAATAGCCATCTTGTCTCATTCGAATTTGTATGTGTCTGCTTATCTCGTCCCAATTAGTCACTTTCTCTCATTCTAATCCCCAGCTGTTGGATGTCGCTGCCTGCCTTCTACTACAGCTTTGTTATCCCCGTTGGCCTGATCGTCTTGACCAACATCGTCGTTTACATCATGGTTGTGGTCAGCTTGTGCCGTCGGGAGGACATGACCCAACACAGTTCAAGGATCCAGAATCAGAATGTCGTTAACATAAGGGCTTCGTTCGTTTGTTTTTTTGTCCTGGGTGAGTTGAGTTGAAACAGTGGTATGAATCTGGTCGTTGAATAGTGGACAGTAAATGTGGATAGACCTAGCTGTCGATGAGGAATAACTTCAGCAGTAAATATGGATGGACCAGCTGTCAATGAGGGATAACTTCAGCAGTAAATGTGGAATATCTTCAACAGAAAATCTGAAATTATTCTAGCAAAAATTGTTGCATAAAGACACATATCCCTTGATTGACTCCATGGTACTTCAGCCAGTTTTGACGCTCTCCGCCAGGCATCACAACCTTATGTCACAATTTCGACACCCTCATAAACGTCATTTATAGATTTTCCCAGCTCTAGCATTAAAAGAATAGTAAGTTTAGCATTAAATTTGGGGAAAAGTTAGAAGTTAATTTTAAATAACAGTCAAATTGGAATAACTATCAGCGAATTTGGAATAACGAAAGTTTACCTTAAATATAATCGTCTGCCAAATTATAATAATAAGATTGCCGATTATTTTAAGAAATTATTTTGAGACACTTTCGATAGCTTCATTTTAGACAAACAATTTGACGTCTCACATATAGAAAATGAAAGATAAATATTTATTAAAATTAGTTATTTTTCAATATATAACATAATTTTATTTTGATTTTTTTTAACCCTTACCTTTCACCGTTGTCTGTTCTTGTTAGGAGATACTCTGCTTTCCCAGGCGAGCAATTTATAATGATACAAATATTTTTTTTTTAAATTTAACCGTATGCTGTTATGACTCGGGACCTTAAATTCAACAATCCTGTATTGGTGTCTTGAACTTCAACCGATTGTCTTAAACACGGAACTATTGCGTCGCAACACCGTTTTAATTTTTTCTCTTACCGTTTCAGGTCTGTCCTGGATCTTTGGCTTCCTGGCCCTAGGCGACGCCCGCGTTGTTTTCCAGTACATATTTTGTATATCTGCGTCACTGCAGGGATTCGTCATCTTTGCCATGATGACTGCACGGGATAAAAATGTCCGTGCTTTCTGGCTGTCAAAGCTTTCCATGATTTGTTTTCACTTCCCATACCGTACCAAGGACGGCAAGGACACAGCACGGGGTGAGTTACACATTTATACCAAAGACAGGCGGAGGACAAAAAAAGGGGGTGGGTGAGGGAACATATTTTTAGGCCGCTGCTTTCGGTCCACTTTCTTTACGTCGTATAACTTATTTTCATGTGTATTATTTACCTTTTGGGAGTTTTGGTTGTTATTAGGTGCGCCAAAAAGTCTAGTGACTCCAATCCTTCTTAAACGTTGTGATACTAATATTTCAATTTATTCGTAAAGATTAACACTAACTGTAACATTCCCATTGTATCACATATTTGCCATGACGATCTAGAGGGTAAAATTCACTTGGTCATTGCTAACAAGGAGGACTTGAGCCATTTGTTATAATTCCATTTATTTACGAGGAGAGAGAAAAGAACGTACTTTACCCTTTAAATTTTTTTTTCTGTAAAGTAACTGGCAATGGTAAATGTGTATGCGCGGTACTCACCTGGGTTGTTGTTTGTTTATGTATGCGCGGTACTCATCTGAGTTGTTGTTTGTTTATCTGAGAGCTGTCATACTTTACAGTGTTAAATAAGCTTTGGTGAACCATCCGCCTGATCAGTTTTCTCCCTTTACTGTACATATCTACGTTTTGTATCCTCAGAAAAAAGAATTGCCACAAAGTCTGCAGCTCGGAAATTGGGTGCTTTCTACAGTGATAAGTCAGAGTCGAATGACTTAAGCCTTGATAGCACCACCTCTACAGTTCTCAGTAACACATCACAGAGGCAGTTACAGCAGCAAACATACAGTTCTCAGTATCACACCACAGAGGCAGTTACAGCAGAAAACATACAGAGCTCAGTTACACACCAAACAAAAAGTGACAGCAGCAAACCTACAGTTTTTAATAACACACCACAGAGACACAGACAGCAAAAAAAAACATACATTTCTAGTAACAAACCACAGAGGCAGTGACAACAAACCTGGTGTTCTCAGTGTCACACCACAGAGGCAGTTATAGCAGCAAAAATAGAGTTCTCAGTAACACATCACAGAATCAATGACAGAAACAAAAATGCAGTTCTCAATAACACATCACAGAATCAATGACAGAAACAAAAATGCAGTTCTCATTAACACATCACAGAATCAATGACAGCAGCAAAAATACAGTTCTCAGTAACACACCACATATACTGTGATAGCAACAAACATATAGTTCTTTGTAACACACCACAGAGTCAGTGACAGCAACAAAACTACAATTCCCAGTAAAAATCCGAGGTTGTAGAGTTTAAAATAAGCACGGACATCACAGAATAATTATTGTATCTTTCTTTGACACTAAGGTTTTAATTCCAATATCTTAATTTTTTAATAATTCGTGTAAATATCCATAATAGAAGTCTACTTTCGGACCGCCATGTTAAATATTTTGGCCTGCCGGATGTACCCAAATAATAATTATTTTTAAAAAATTAAATTAGCGATTATTTAAATTATTTTGCATAAAATATATTTTAAATATATATGCAGCACTTTTTTGAGACAGTATCCACCTAGTGGATAGGGAAATGGGTGTTCTTTATTTCTTTAGTGTAATGGCAGTATTTTCGGCTAATCGCAGAGGTTTTTCGTAGAAAGGGGAAGCAAAAATCTTTGACCTGCCCGGGTGGAACTAATCATAGCTAAGCCAATGTATGCGCCATTTTGATGTACCTACCCTTTCTTAAGGCTATTTTTTTTTTAATTGATTCAAATTTGCAATCTCAAATTCTTAAGTAAAAATTACAAAATATTATTACTGTTTAGGGACTACGGAAAATAAAGGATTCATATCAATCAAGTTAGGTAATGAAAAACTTCATTTCCACTAGAGTTTCTTGAGTTCTTTTCTGATTATGATGTTTTAGAATAGCTAAAAACTAAATTCATCTATGCGCCAAAAACGCATACCTTCATTTTTGAATTTATTATGAAAAGAAAGTAGGGGGTGTTAATACATACGGATATGACAACAAAGAAGGTGCTGTAGTGATAAACCTATATCTTAAAGAGGCGAACAGACAATCAAAAATCCACGAATCGATCAAGCGAAATTCAAATCCCCTGTCACAACCCCCCCCCCCCCCAAAAAAAAAAGTAAAAATAATAATCAACTACAACATCGTTTAGCAGACTATTAAAAAGTTAATCTCATTATAAAAACCAACGAAATCTGCATATGCTCTCCCCATCTTCGATACCTACCACGTAATGCCCTGCTCCTATCTTCTTTCCAAAATAACTTATTCTCTAGTAATCTCGAACACAATATTTTCAGATTAAAAATTTTTTTTTTTTTAAATTCTCTCTTGTTCTTTTATAGCTTTTGTCTCCCCCCCCCCCTTTTTTTTTTATAACGTGGTCTTATAACAGGATATCTTGTATCAGGTTTTCTTACATCAGGTTGTCTTCTATCACTTTGTCTTATATCAGGATGTCTTATATCAGGATGTCTTATATCAGGATGTCTTATATCAGGTTGTCTTATATCAGGTATCTTAATCCAAACTGTCTTATAACCGGTAACATGTTTCCTACCCACGGCTAATTCAACAATTGTATATAATGATTATTATTTATATATTAATGAATTATTGATGTACCAGTCATTTACTGATGTACTTCTTATTTATTTATGTACTTGTTTTATTAGAGTACTTGTCATTTATTGAAATACTTGAAATTTAATGACAAGCTTCACTTTTATTGATATACTTGTCATTTATTGATGTACGTGTCATGTACTGATGTACTTCCTTGTCATTTATTGATGAAATTGTCATTTTTTTAAAATTAAATGACATTTAATGATGTACGTGACATTTAATGATGTACTTAAAATTTAATACATGCTGCATATTTATTGATATACTTGACATTAAGTGTTTTACTTGTTCATTTTTTCGTCTTGTCATATATTGAAGTACTGAGAATTTTCTCTTCCGCAAAATTTGTTTTTATTTTTAAACTATCATTTAATTTCCAAACGGCCTTTTCTCTTTTTAACTATCAGAATAATAAACACAATGCCTTACCTATTTCAGCATGTTCAGGCATTTCTTTAAAAAAAATTAACTTCCCTAGATCAGTATTAATATTTTTTTATGAAAATGTGTAAAAAAAACATATTTGGTGATCAGATGCAAAGAAGGAAAAGAAAAAAAAATCACCTGAAATAATTTAATTAAATTCTGTTTATTTAGAAAGCAAATTCATATTAAACCTTGTTCACATGTTTTATCAAATTTCATGAGCATTTGTCCAAAACATGAATTCTTTTGTAAAAATGGGTCAAAAAAGGGGAAATAATAAAACATATTATAACTTCACTGCACCTCCTCTAAGTATTCACAGAAATTACAGGCTATTGTTATTTTACCTTTAAAATATATTTACACATTTCAAAAAATAACAGAGATTTTTAACTTCATGTTGCCATTACTCAGAAATTTTCTTGTTTTTTTTTTTTGTAACAAAGATAAATTTACTTATGTGCTACTTTTGATTGAGGATTTCATTTTCTTAACATTCCTAATTTATAGCACACCGTAGAATGTCTTTCAAAATCGTTGCAGTTTGGAATTATAGCATGTGTGATATTGTATTTTGTGTTATTTACATTACAGCACTTGGAACATCAACACTTTTAGTAAATCATCTAATGCTAAAATAAATTCCTCAGTGAAGTCAATTTAGAATTAAATGTCAGGCAGTTTATTTTCATCTATGTCCTATTTTTCTTTTTAACAATCCTGAAGAGATTATGGCTGGCAATATAAACAAAATGGGAAAAAGTTGGTTTTCCAATGCTGTTCTCTTTACTTATGGTGGTATATCCATGTATCAACAGGTCATGGTGGTATATTCATGTGTCAACAGGTCATGGTGGTATATCCATGTATCAACAGGTCATTGTGGTATATCCATGTATCAGCAGGTCATGATGATATATCCATGTATCAACAGGTCATGGTGGTATATCCATTTATCAACAGGTCAACACCATGCACGAATGAATTGCATGATTTAAAAATCAGATTTGAGAATATTTGGTTTTCTCACCAGTAATTGCCTAGTAATACAATATCAGTTTTAGTTCTGTGCTCAAAAGTAAATCCATTTGCTGTCATATTATTTGAAATAAGTGAAGCTAACATTATATAAATTATAATATCTCTTATCCACCACATCATATCACACTGCTTTGGTTTTTATCTTTATTTCCTTCTGATATAATCTCACACGTTCACTTTGCACAGTTTGTCCTCATTGTCTGTTTCAATGTTAGAAACTTTGAAGAATGTCTATTTTAGACTTATTTGAATAAATCTTTTTTTTTTAGGAATAAGGCATGAGCCCAAAAACTCATGGTAGTTGGGCGCTAGCCTGGCCTTTTGTCCGGTGTATGAGCCTAAAACTCATGGTAGTTGGGCGCTAGCCTGGCCTTTTGTCCGGTGTATGAGCCTAAAACTCATGGTAGTTGGGTGCTAGCCTGGCCTTTTGTCCGGTGTATGAGCCTAAAACTCATGGTAGTTGGGCACTAGCCCTGCCTTTTGTCCGATGTATGAGCCTAAAACTCATGGTAGTTGGGTGCTAGCCTGGCCTTTTGTCCGGTGTATGAGCCTAAAACTCATGGTAGTTGGGCGCTAGCCTGGCCTTTTGTCCGGTGTATGAGCCTAAAACTCATGGTAGTTGGGCGCTAGCCTGGCCTTTTGTCCGGTGTATGAGCCTAAAACTCATGGTAGTTGGGCGCTAGCCTGGCCTTTTGTCCGGTGTATGAGCCTAAAACTCATGGTAGTTGGGCGCTAGCCTGGCCTTTTGTCCGGTGTATGAGCCTAAAACTCATGGTAGTTGGGCGCTAGCCTGGCCTTTTGTCCGGTGTATGAGCCTAAAACTCATGGTAGTTGGGTGCTAGCCTGGCCTTTTGTCCGGTGTATGAGCCTAAAACTCATGGTAGTTGGGCGCTAGCCTGGCCTTTTGTCCGGTGTATGAGCCTAAAACTCATGGTAGTTGGGTGCTAGCCTGGCCTTTTGTCCGGTGTATGAGCCTAAAACTCATGGTAGTTGGGCGCTAGCCTGGCCTTTTGTCCGGTCTTAGATTTGTTTGTTTTTTTACACATCCCAATCAATCGAAACTTAAAATTGTTTCTAGCTTTGGGTGAATTTGTTTTTTCTCGTAAAAGGGCTTCGGTAAATATGACTGAAGGTCATATTTAAATAGTGCATTGCCAGATGAGTGTTGTGGTTGTGAGACTAGGCTTCTGTTATTCAAGTTGTTGTTTTTTTTAAATATTTTTTTACATTTCTTTCTATAGTGTTCCGAAAATTTCATAAATATTTCTTTACAAGTAAAGTAGAAACAATGTATTCCGCCAACACGTTTTGTCTAGATGTGTATGCGTCACATCTTAAACATGTCAAATGTTAATATAATATACGTAATGTTTTCCACTTTTTAGTGCTTTCCATATACGTTAGAATTTTAAGTTTTTTTATATTTATTTTTCATATGTATTCGAATTTTAAATATTTATTTGTATTTTCTATATTTACAAGTATTTTCAATATTTTAAAAAAATTTTAATTTCTTTAATTGTTTGCATTTTTTCATGTTTATTTCTCCCATTAAAAACTGGCCGCTGTCGCTACAATGTTCAACTTAACTACTCTATCAAGACTTCGGACTTTGTCCAGTGTGCATCTCAAGCTAATTTCTCTTAGGATTTTTGTTTATTTTCGTAATCATTTCAATTTATCTTGGTCTTAGTTCTTGTTTTTTTTCAAACACATTAGCTTCAAGATAGTGAAACGATGGAAACTTTACCCATTAAAGTAGGTTCAAGTGAAGGCTCAATAACTAATGAAGACATTGAGGATATTCTATATCATAGAGCAAAACAAAAAATACTGTTTAAAAATGGTATCTAAATGCTGCCTTAGCCAACAACAACAAAAATACATTTCATGATGTGTCTACTTCAGACAAGTAATTTTTATAAATACAGACTTTAATTTTTAAATACAACATTGGAACATTTCTTTTTTCAATGGAGTGAAACTGAAACATCGCCAAAACCAATACATTTGTGCTAAAAATTGTTATTTGTTTTGGCAAAAACAGCTTCATGATTCGTAAACTTTAAAAATTTGTCCGGCTCCCAGGAAAAGTTTAACGACGAGTATACGTGTTCCACTGTATTTTAAATAAAACAAAAATTATTTCAAGAACGTAACGCGGTATAAAATAAGAAAACCAAATTGTCCATTTCTGTTTCAGTTTGCTTGTGCATATTACAATCTATACATCGACAGTGTTGTTGTCACAAAGAAAACAGAGGTCATTTTTTAAATCCTTTCTTTTGTGGACCGATGACAGGAAAATAAAATAGCAATAATGAACGGAAGCAAGATAAATCAAAGAAAACCATCAGTTGAAAAACTAATTGTCCTGCTCAGTAAATTTTTCTTTTGTTTTCTGTATTTTTTTTTTTTTTAAATTACTACCATAGATAAATACAAATTTTTTATAACTCAGGTGGACTTAACTTTTGTGATAGCCATGATGGCAGCCCAAGCCCCTCTTCCACCCCCAACCAACGTCCTCGGCCCTCACTACCCCTGTACTCAGATTTTGTTGATGTTATTAAAATAGAACACACGGGGACCATTTGCTTGGCCAGAGTATGTGTCCCATTGTGAGACAGTATCAAGAAACCGAAGCGTTAAATACGAGTAATAAACACAAATATCATAAAGACGTAAAGTCCATTCATCCACCATAAAACTTCCCTTGTGTAGTTATGTAGGCCTAAATTGATACAGTAGTTCCTACTCTGTGCCAGCGGCGGTGCCATTGAACTGTTCTACATGCCACTGAATACCAGGCTTTATAAACATCGTAAATCGCTCTCCTGCCCCCTCGCCCACCCCCTTCCCCGTTGTTATCAGGGTACAGACTGATTTTTACAACACAATAATAATAATTTAAAAAAAAAAGAATGGTGTTACAGCCCACGAGACGTGTAAGTGTAAGGGCTTGGTCCCACAGTTGGTACCGACCCGCAGAGGCGTAGC